TAATGAAGGGGATGAGAACAAATAGCTTTGGAAAGCTAAGGTATCTCTTAACGTCAAAATATTTATGTGGCTGACTTTGCAAGATTCTATTCTGACCAAAGATAATTTGCTCAAGAGAAAGTGGAAAGGTAGCCCTGCGTGTGCATTCTGTCAAGATACAGAATTTGTCAATCATTTGATGTTTGAATGCCCTATGATTAAATATGTTTGGAGCCTTATGGCCTACATACTTGGGGCAACTGTGATACCGAGTTCTTTTTCGCAGTACTGGATTTGGATCAATCGATACTTGCCTGGTGGAAAACAGGTGTTCTTCGTTGGGTTAGTAGCAGTTTGCTGGTCAATTTGAAAAATAAAAAACAGCATATGCTTTGAAGAAAAAAGAGTCAAAACTCCCACTGAGATCATTTGCCTAATTTGCTCTATGTTAACCTACTAGGTAGGTTTGCAGAAGGACGCAGTCTCGGCGCAGATTGAACATGGCGCAGAGGTTCTCAAGAAAACGGCGCTTCAATTTCACCAACATGGGCGCATGGATGGAGGAGATAATCATCTGGCAGTGATCTGATACATCGATCTTCAGAAGGGAAAAATGGTGGCTTCGCTAGAAGACTGATCGCAGCTTGTGTGCTGTCAGTATCTTTTGCCAAAGGGCATGTAATAAGTTTAGACTAATATGGAACTTGGTGTCTGCGGCTGTGATGAACGATTTTCTGTATTTTTGTTTTGTGCGAGTAGGGTTCGTATGTCAGGTTTACCCGTTGGTTTGAACCCTCTGTGTTCATTCCAATATGGTTGTCAGCGTGTTTGTTACGTTTGGGTGTTGGTTTTTACTGTTATCAAACTCTTGTAATTTCGTTGCTCTCGGGTAATGAAATTCGGCTTTGCTGTTGTAGAAAAAACCTTATTTTCATTTTGTAGTATGTACCTTCATAGTCTGAAAATGCATTTGGTTCAATAATCCTCCCTCTGTTTCTAAATGTAATTTTTTTAGCCTTCGCAAATTTTCTCTAAGTATCGGTTGTTTTAGAATTTCAATACTTGTGCCTTTTTCTTCCTTGTCCCTGCTTAATAATTCCTACCAATGGCGTAAATTATTGAGTCATCATTTGTGATACATAATAAATGAAGACACTAGGTCATTTAATCTACTTTGTTACTTTATCCTTGTGCACGACCTACTTTTGGAATTAGAGAGAGTAGTTTTTGCAAGATTTGGAAGAAATAGAAAAGAGTGAATATAATAATTTGGTGATCCAAGTCATCTCCAAATGTCTGGTTGCTCCTATTATCTTCTAGAAAAGATATGCATCAACTTGCATATATACTTTGAACTGCTCATGACCAATTAGTGACCATATACTTATTAAATTATGGAGGGTGGGTATTGATATGTAATCACACTGGATATTGTCTTTTTATTACATGCTTGTATGGCACCCTTTGTGGCTATTGCATTGCCATATGTAGAAAAATGCTGAGAGAAGTATATTACAAAATTAGAACATCATTCAGTTAGTTTGCCAAAAGGATATCTGATTTGTTTGTGATTTGGTTTAGTGCCAAGTGCCAAATTGAGGTCCATTGGAGAAGTTTTGTCTGTCATCTTTACAAGGTAGTCATTGTGTTGACATTATTTATTATCATGGACCAAACCTCACTCAGAAAATGATGTCTACACTTTTTTTTCTCACCATTTAAAATCAACCTAGCAATTTTATGCAGCCAAATCATCTTTGTAGTATGTAGAAACAAAGTTTGTTCACATGGGGTTTTCAATATACTCCCTCTGGTCACAAATACTTGATGCTTTGACCAAATCCTGGTCAATTTTTTTAAACTTTGACCATCAATAGTAATAAAAGAGCATTTATTTTGGAAACAAATACATCATACGCATAGATTTATCTTGCAAAGTGCATTCATAATCCTGGTACTCATGGATTAATTAGATATTAAAATTATATTCTTATAAAAACAGTATCTAAGTTACAACTCGTGGACCACTAAAAGTCAATGGCATCAAGTATTAAGACCGGAGGGAGTAAGTCAGCCTCTTATCTTTTTGCACAGTTATAGTGTGCACAAATTGGTACTATGTATTATCACATTGATTTGGCTATTATGAATTTCTTGCAAAGTGGTACTCATAGATTCATTAGATATTAAAATTGTATTCTTATAAAAACAGTATCTAAGTTACAACTCGGGGACCACTAAAAGTCAATGGCATCAAGTATTAAGACCGGAGGGAGTAAGTCAGCCTCTTATCTTTTTGCACAGTTATTGTGTGCACAAAATTGGTACTCTGTATTATCACATTGATTTGGCTATTATGAATTTCTGAACACATTTTAGAGCTCTGTTGTACCTAACATAGAGTCACGGGTTCTTTGTTTATTATGGGTTATGGCATATCTTTCCATCTTTCTCTAAGCCTGGGCCTGTTAATATTCACTTTATTGTTCTGGCCACAAAATTAGTACAACTCAGGTGTGTTGTACCACTCTGTACTTGCTCTAGACTTTATAAACTTTGCAGGTAGTTTCATCATTTAAGTGTCATTTACCTGTGATATTTTCATGAGTGTATAATGTCGGAAAAGGTTCAATTTCTGTATGTTTAGCAGGACCAAATATAACACAAAAAATTATGAACTGATTGAAGCATGGAAAGTTGGAAACTACTAATAGAACTCAGCGCTAAGCACATGTGAAATAATCCGTATTCTGCAATCATAGGAAAAAAGTGCAGTCATGAGTAATCCAAATTGTGATGTCAAGAATGTTGTGATTGCCCAATTTTACTCATGTAGTAAAGTTCACATCTAACACTTCTAGTGATCTTGTGGTTGGTGAGGATCATATTTAGTCAACATCAATGAAATGAACTTTGTTTCAACAAGCAAAAAGCTATGGACGTTGTAGTGGTGAGTCTGCCGAATATGCAAGTAACACCAACCATTTTTGGTGTAAGTGCCCGATTTTGGCTATGCTGATCATTTGCTTCATGATAATCAATGAAAAAAAAGAACATAAGCCCATAACGATTGATTTACCAAATGTCCTATTATTTATCCGTTAAGATATGCAACTTTCATTTAAAATGGAGAATTCTGCAGCTCTGAGTTCAACTCCCTTCAATTCGCACTAGCATTACAAGCAAAACTTCTATTAAAAAACACCACGACATCTTTTTTTATTTGCGAACAAAACACCAGGACATTTTGGTCATTGATGAGACAACAAACCTAAAAGAATATGGATCAATTATCCCTCAGTTACACAGATAATACATGTGGTGCTTAGATCATTTGAATGTATCCTTATGTTACGAGTGATTAGTTCCTAATTTCTAGATTGCACGTACTTCTTGTTGCTAATTTCCCAATTTTCAAGGTTGCTGAAGAGGCTAAGCCTAGCTTAACTGGTTGGATAAGAGGTATGGTCATGCATCCAACCATACATATTCGAGTCTTATCTAACCTGAATTTCGGTGTCTATTTCTTCTTATTATCTTAATGAAAAACCGTTTTGATCCTCCTAGGTTGCCATTTTTTTAACCCGCGCTAGCACAGATGGAATCTGACTGTTGACCAATAAAGCAGTAATGCCCATTCAGGCATCTTGCAACTACAGATTTTGGCAGTGTCGTAGACTTCTAGTTCCCACAGCTGTGCGTTGCTGCATGCCAGTGTGTAGGCATGTCTACCAGAGAAATGCACGGACAGAATTCCTCCTGCTGTGATGTGGGACCATCCTACCTGCCCTGGCTCCGTCTAATGCTAAAAAAGAACGATGGTGGTTTCATGAGACTGGTTGCTTGTCTAATGTAGAAAAATGTGGCAATCCAATCTGAAATTTCTGGAAAAATGAACGGTGGGCACTGGTCTTGCCTAGAGGTGTTTGCCTGTCTCTTTTCTTCTCCCTCTTTTCAATCCTTCTTTTTTTCCTGGACCGAACTTCTGCAAAATCACTAGTTTAAAGTCTCCATATATCTGGGGAAAAAACATGTAGAACTGGATGAAGGTATTTGTCTTTCATTTGAATTTCTAGTAGTTGGCCCAGGAATTCACCATTTATAAGAATGTTCTTTTTCCGGTTCTGAGGATAGAAGCACAACCTGATAACCATGAGACATAATATCTTCCTTTTGCGGACCCAGGGAGAGGTAAGCATACTATCACACTTGTGTTAGGAAACTGCACATAATTAAGCGCATTAACACCCTAGCAGAATTGTTTTTCAGGTCTATAAAGCCTATGCTACCTACAAGATCTATCCATGCAGTCAACCACGCAGCAGAGAAACCGGTACAGCCTTGAGATCTCTGTGAATTTTCAAACAATACACGCATGAAAATAGGGACAAGAGTCCAAAAATTCTTGCAAAATAAAAACACAAGTTGCATGATTGGATTGCCAAAAACCCAAGGGTAGCACAATTGCATAAGAAACAGATAATAATAACAATATATATTAGGTAGACAACTTGCACAAGTGTGCCTTGTCTCTTCCCACCCAGCCTTTACCCAGCCAAACCATCAAGCATGACAGTGTAGCTTGCCAATCAGAACACTCCGGATTGCATACTCATATTGCTTTCTTGTACCATTTGATAGAAAATAAGTCTCCTAAGTCCTGATGTTAATTTTGATGTATTTGTACTGCAGTATTTGGAATGGAGCAATGTCTTTGTTATGATGAGAACCAGCAGTGAACCTGCTGGTCCATAAAAAGCTTGACATGCACTGTACTGTGTGAATGTTTTGAAGATAATTATTGGGCGTGATGAAGAGCTCTGCTTGATGTGTCAACATCACAGTTAGGGCTCGTTCGTTTAACCATCGTTCCAACAGGATTCATTCCAGGTGATCAAATATAGTACAAATTAGCACAACATTCCTGGTTGGAATAATTCCAGGGGTCCAATCTGTGACAACCGAACAGGCCCTTACTGTTTTCTCCCTTTGTTTCCTTCCTGTTTCCTTAGTTATATAACATGCAGCACTTTGCCATGTTTGGTGTCGTGCATGAATGCTCCTGCATGCTACTATTAAACAGGTGGGCGATCTCTCGTCTATACTACATGATGGGAGAGAACAGAAAGGTGAGACCAGTGATGAGCAGACATGCACCTGTAGGCTGTAGCTACTCGTTTCTCTTGTCTCTGTTAGCAAAGTTGAAGCATATGACATATATATGCTGTTCTTGTTCTAGATCACCCGGTCAAGGCTAGTGACAAGCAATCTGCTGCACCACCAGCACCTGCATGGCCATGGATCTGTCTCTGAGGTTTCGAGCTTAGTGGATGAAACCTTGGGGAAGAGGCCCTTGAATGGGCAGAAGGATACACTTGTATACAGGTAGTAGCTTGCACTACCTTGCATTTCAGTCCTCGAGTGTGTTCCTACTTCGTAGCATTTCATTCTGATCTTTATTTCTTCTGGGCGTATGAAGTGTGTTTGCTAGTACCTGGAATGTCGGTGGCATCACACCATCTGATGACTTGGACTTGGAGGATTGGTTGGATACAAGAGCTAATGCCTATGACATCTATGTTCTAGGGTAACCTATTCAGATCAACCTGTTAACCCATATTTCTTAAAAAAAAACCTGTTAACTCATATATGTTGCCAAAGTGAAGCTCGTTTTGTTCCTGCTGATTGAGATTCGCTCTAATGATGCTTTAGGTTCCAGGAGATAGTACCACTCAATGCGAGAAATGTGCTTGGTCCTAGGAACAGCTGTGTATCTGCAAAGTGGAACTCGCTAATCGGGAAGGCACTCAACAAAAAGTATAGAGAAGAAGGGGCAAAGTTGAACCAAGAGTCTACAAATAGCAGTGCAAAGGAAGGCTCTATGGAGGGAGAAGGCTTCAGATGCATCAGGAGCAAGCAGATGGTTGGCATCTTTACATCAGTATGGGTGCGAAGCAACCTTAGGCCACTCATTCATCATCTGGATGTATCATGCATTGGTTCGGGTATCATGGGCTGCCTAGGGAACAAGGTAAGATGCATACAGAAGCACCTATGACAGATCCATTTATACAAATGATATTGACCATGCACATGGATGCGTGGATTGCTTGCAGGGTTCTGTTTCGATCCGATTTGTGTTGCATGAGACGAGCTTTTGCGTCGTTTGTTGTCACCTGGCTTCAGGTGGCAAACAAGGGGACGTGCTGCTGAGGAATTTGGATGTCGCGGACATACTTACAAGAACATGGTTCCCTGGTCTTGCAACTCAGGAATTGCCAGAGAAGATCCTTGATCATGAGTAGGTGTACATTAGCTCAGCTCAACCTCAACCTCATATTTGTTCCAGTTTTCTCAATATTTCTACAATAAGTCAGTAACAGTGCTTAAGCATCTTCTAGAATATCGATTCTATTATATACTAGTGACCATTATAAGTTTTTTTTTATGAAACTGGAGGGGCCCAAGCCCTTACAGAAATTTATTTAAAACCAAAAGAGGAGTGAAAACTACAAGTTTTAGTGACCATTATAAGTGATCCCTAAACGTAGGATTTAGATCATCTTAAGTTTTAGTGACCATTATAAGTGATCCCTAAACGTAGGATTTAGATCATCTTTTTCTGTAATGATTATGTTCTTTATTTTTTAGTTTGATGTGACATGTTTAAATTTTGCTAAACTTGTTTGTCTCCTCTGTAAATGAAAACAAAGAGGGTATCCCAGCTGAGAATAAGGACCTAGTAATAAGGTACCGAAATGGGATCATGCATAATTGCATACATCACCCTGTGCGTTGCGTCTCTGTGGATGATTTTTCCAAATAATTTGTTGATGGCACTTCTGTGTGTTCTTTCCTATTTGTGCAGTCAAGTAGTTTTGCTCGGTGACTTGAACTATAGGATATCCTTGGAAGAGGCCGAGACGAGGTCACTGGTGAGAGCCAAGAACTGGGCCATCTTATTGGAAAACGATCAGGTTTTTTCTTCACCGAGATATCTTCAACTTGTCGTCTTACTCTATTTTCTGATTTTTTATTAATATTAACATTGCAGTGTCTCTCTCGTCACACGATTGCAGCTATTGTTCGAGTTCTCGAGGGGGCGGCATTTTGAGGGCTGGCAGGAAGGCTTGATCACGTTCTCCCCCACCTACAAGTACCAACCCAATTCCGATCAGTATCAGTACTACTGGTGCTTTGACAGTGCGCGGAGCGAGAAGAAGCGTGCTCCGGCATGGTCAGCTCAACAGTCCCACACAACTTTCTTTTCGAGAAGATCTTTCGAGAGAAAAAAAAAACTTTATTTTCGAGAACAATCAAAAAAGAACAAGCAAAGCCTGCAAGCATGAGTTTGTGGAGTGGTGAATGTGACCTCAGACCGATCGAGGTGCTTACCTTTTCTTTGTGCAGGTGCGATCGTATTCTGTGGCGAGGTAAGGGACTGAAGCAAGTCCAATACGAGACGTGCAGCTACAGGCTATCGGACCACCGGCCGGTGAGAGCAGTTTTCCACGCTGAATGCGATGTATTATCAGAGGGGATGGTGCAGAAGTAAACAGCCAGACTGCTGCGCACAGTACGAACTCAGCAAGCGAAGCGACTGATGGTCTACGAAGAGAAGCCGTGCCCTGTTCAAGCAGAGAGTGATGGCATGGACGACACGACGCAAGCGACGCAAGATTGGACCAAGAGAGTAACCAAGAAGAAATGTGTTTTGAGACGAATATGAAGTTGTTTTTCCTCGAGAGGATTAGAATTTTCTGAACGCTGATTGAGTTGTGTGCAGAAGAGGTGCATGGGACAGAGTACCAGGATCGGAGAAGAGGTGCTGTTTTTTTTTTTGCTTTATTCTGTTGTTGGTGATCTTCAGATTCTTTTTCCCTCGTTTAAAAACTAATTTCTCCTGGGTTTTGGGCTTGTATCTTCCATCATTAACCTTCAACCGAAAGAATATCAGCGTCCGTACTGTCCTTCTCTAAAAATGGCATCTGTACATTCTGTTGCTTGTGATTGGATGTTAGAGTTTACAGCGATGTTCAAAAACTCTAATACGTGCCAAACTCTAGTTGGTTTGCCGTCCGTCCTAAAAAGAATGTGCATCTTTCCTCTCGGGAAGCTAAACTTTTAAAATTTAACTAAATTTATCGAAAATAGTATCAATATTTAGATATACAAATAAATTTATTATAAAAATATATTCGACAACTAATCTGGTACTTATTATGCATTATAAATGTTAGTAGTTTTTTATATGTTTGGTCAAACTTAAATAAATTTGATTTTTTTAAAAAATGATATGTGCATTTTTTTAGAAAGGAGGGAGTTTGTGGAAGTACTTTCTGTCAATTTGGAGCATTCATGATGGGAACAGTACTTGGGGATATGTTTCTATCAATTTGGAGCATGCATGATGGAAATTGGAAACATTACCCGGGAAAATCTGAACCAGAAAAGTATAAATAAGTCGATCTGCTTTCGACAAACAACCAGACAATGGAGATTTAGAGAGAAAAATAATCATACAGTGGAGAGGCCATGACTTCTCGACCTGATTGGTCTAAAGTGGGTAAAGCAATACCTGTGGCATTTATTTGCTCAAACATTTCATCTGAATCAAGTTTTACAATGGTTGGAAAAAAATACAAAGCTCTTCGTCTGATCATATATATACCCATTCGGTTTATCCCATATTCGGCTTGTTCGGCTTCTTTTTTCAACCGGAACAGTGTTTTTCTCTCACAATAATTTAGCCACAACAGTGTTTTTCAGCAATTTTCAACCAAAATTCTGCCAGCCGAATGGGGCCTATCTGTTGCCACTTGCGGTTAGTCTAATTTTAGTTCACCTTTTGTGTGTTTTGCTATGCGGCAACCGCTGTCGTCATAAGCAACTTGCCGCATCGTCAGCGTGATAACCTCCAATAATGATAGTGAGAGGTCTGAATTGCACGAGAGGTCACAAACTCAAACTTGACTCGTTCGTGCATTTACACGTCGATCTTAGTCTGATGGCACGCTAAAGCTAGCTGATTTGAGCAACCCAGTACAATTGGCCGGCTAGTTAACAGCGAATCTTATCAGCTGGCTTAGAATCTACAGTATTTTTCTCTCACAACAAAACAGCTTCAGCCGGCTTATCAGCCGACTTTAATACCAGCCGAACAGGCCCGAAAGGACAGGGCAAAGATTTGGTAGGATAAGCGACTGAGCTGATGTTACTGTCAAAAAAGTTAACACACCATGAACATGCAAACGCCTCCTGTACTTGATACAGTATGATGGACTACTACTTTTTTTTTTGAAAGAACAGGAGGGGTTTACACCCCTACTGAATATGATGGACTACTACTTGCTAAAGTTGAACAAAGAAGTGTCTCCATCCCATTACAAAGATAATTAATTGCACTATCCTATAATTTATTTAGCATGTCAACACTACACTTCATCCAGGTAAAAAAGATGTATGATTGGATGATAGCTTCGGAGACGTAAGGTTTATCGCGCCAAGCACAAAAATGGTATTCCATTCATCCAAGAAAAGGAAGCAAATAATTAAAAGGACATAAAAAAGAATAATTCCATACTTATGATAGGGAAACAAGTGAAAGAGCACAGGAGGACATGATCCGAAAATGTCATATCTTTTCGTCGCGTTATTATGTATCCATACTTCAGCAATGTTATATCAGCATTACCAACTCCTTAACTTTATTATATCCCTTGGGGTCACCTAGGAGAGGTGATTAAGGAAGTTACCATGCTTCTATACTTCTATATGTGGCCCTTCGGTATATAGTGGGCCCCACTAAGTGGGGTGACTAGCTACGTAACAAGTGATTGCTGTTGTGCAACATCATTTTTTTGGTTGCAGCAAGAAGGCAAGTGGTATTATCAATTAGGATTGTTATGGACCAAATGCTGTCACTAACATAGTAGTGATATTGCTTTCAACTTAAAAGTAAAACACCCTAACAAAAAAGACAGAGAGAAAAAAAAAACACGCTAAAGTATTTGGATGGGATCACGATTCACGACTGCTAGAACAAATGCTCACAGAAGAACGTTAGTATGTTTGTGATCTTACTATTCAAGTGTAGGATTAGGGCGGTTTAACAAACATACATATACGTGAATTTCTTTAAAGAGAACTTCATATTTTTATCATTTACATATTTGTCAAGGAAAGAACCCTGCACTTATGCATATCTCCCTTTTGCAGTCCAATGCTTGGGGAGTGTTTGTTTCTGATTAAACATTAAAGGCGGATCTACCGCCGCCACACCGCGAGAATAAAAAAACGCCAAACACCTCACGGTACTTATCGCCACACAAGACATAGCTACCACGAGAATGAACTACGGCTCGCGTTTTCCGTGCCGCGGGCTGGAGGCCTCGGCCCACCATGGTCCCAATCACGCCCTAAAGCCTACTTCACACGCCAGTATGAACACCGAGGATACAGAAGTCCAAAGCTGAGGGACCCAAAAATGCTACCAAAGTTTTCAGAACATACTGCAATGAACCTAAATGCATCTTCAGAAAACACGCACACTGTCCAATAATCTGCAGGTGGACATCATGGACTAATCAGTGTCAGGAAGTCAAAATATGAAGTGGTTCTTTCGTCCTGTTTCAACATCATCGTTCTTTGGACCTCAACTTAGCAAAAAATTCATATATCAAAGGCGATCGACAAAAGACATGGAGAAAATAATATGATTTGACCAGGAAATTTTTGGCTTCTCTAGTTTGAGACCACAAAACAGAAGCAACAGTATCTGAGGCAGGGTGTGCCACAGCCATGAGTTTCATGTGTGGCAAAGCTTCAAAACCATTGATCAAATAAAGGGTCTGAACTGAAAGCACTGTCCTGGATTGGTTGACGTATGTTTCTTCTCTGCCGAATATTCAGCAAAAGATACACAGCTTGAGTGCTTGCCTTCCATGCTTGTGATTGATGATTGAGATGGCATCTTGTTGGTATGCTTTGCTCACTGTGAAATTTGGGCTGTGGCACAATCTCTTAGAACCACAGACGTTATGCCAGAGCAACGATGAGATATGCCAGAACAAAGGATATGAATATTCTAAATTCACCAATCAAGCAACATAAGAAATTATCAGTAAGACTTGATCCCTCTATTTACATACTACAAAAGGCGTAAGAATATACAGCCAATGTATAAAAAAAATGAAAGGGGGCATTTTGTTCACCCTTTATTTATATTGTACAACAATTCTCAGGCTAAAAAAAAGGCTGAAATTGATTATGATATACAAGGGCATAACTATAGGAGTTGATGCTATTTGCAACAAATTGCTGCTGCTGAAGTGTCAAGGGCGTCGAGCCCTAGGGTAGCTGGCCCTCGGCTACGGAGATCGTAGCCTCGGTCCGTCTTCTCCGGCGAGGTTTTGCCCCTCTGCCGTAGGCTTTCGTTGAGAGAGAGAGAGATATTAGATGGGATAATAATCTTCCTTCCCTAACCAATGTGCGATTACAGGAATATATGGCCACCGGCCTCAACCGATCAGAGCTAAACGCTCCTGGAATTTAGGAACTGAAAATAGAAAGCTACGCTATCTTTCCTAACCTAGCCACTGGTGGTGGCTGGCCTCACATGTCACCGTCAGGCGCTCCCAGCGCGTCTTTGCTTGTTCCGCAGCCCTGCGTACGTCGCGGGCCCTCCGGCGCCTGGTGTACATGCGCCCCCACATGACATCTCCCCCCCCCCCTCGAGGAGCAGCTCGTCCTCGAGCTGGAAGGCCGGATACTTGGCGACGAACGGCTCCACGTCTTCCCATGTAGCCGAGGCAGGCGACTCCCCCTTCCACTACACAAGTACCTGGCGCACACCTCGTGCGGTAGCGACCGTCTGAAGACGCGTTCCGGCTCTGGAGCGGCAGCACCATGGTGAATGGGCGGCAAAGGCGGTGGAGCATCCGGCGGCGGTCCGTTGAACTTTCTGAGGAGGCCGATGTGGAAGACATCGTGGAGACGGGACCGAGGAGGAAGAGCCAGGCGGACGGCGACCTCATTGATCAGCTCCGTGACGCGGTAGGGGCCGAAGTACCGAGGCTTGAGCTTGCCGGTGACCGCTGGGGTGTGAGTGAGCAGCCGCTGTGTTGCGAGCGTGAAACGGAAGGCGATGCCCGATCCGACTGATCGTCGACACGTCGCGCGGTGCGTCTTGTCGTAGTGCTTCTTCTGTAGCGCCTGAGCCTGTTCAAGGCGATAACAAATATCCGCCAGGAACTCCTCGCGCTCCTCCATGCTCTTGGCGACGGCAGCCACTCGCGTGTCCCCCGGTTCATAAGACCGGATGGATGGCGGGTCACGCCCGTAGACGACGCGGAACGGCGTGTCCCACAGCGAAGTCTGGTAAGCGGTGTTGAAGATGAACTCCGCCCACGGAAGCCATCGCAGCCATTGGCGCGGTCGATCCCCGGTGAGACAGCGCAGGTACATGATGATGACGCGGTTGGCGGCCTCAGATTGCCCATCTGACTGGGGGTGGAAGGCGGTGGTCATGTGCAGCTTGGTGCCCATCAGGCGCATGAGCTCGCGCCAGAACGTTGAGGTGAAGACCGGATCACGGTCGGACACCATGGACTGGGGAACGCCATGTAGACGGACGATGTCGGCGAAGAATGCTTGGGCGATGGACTCGGCAGAGTACGGGTGCGCCAAGGGAATGAAGTGGCAGTACTTGCTGAATTTGTCCACCACCGTCAGGATGACCGACTTGCCCCGAATGCGAGGCAGAGCTTCGACGAAGTCGAGGGCGATGTCCGTCTAGACCCCCTGCAGCACGGGTAGCGGAAGGAGGAGCCCGGCTGGGTGCAAGTGCTCCGACTTGTACCGCTGACAAGTGGCGCACGCGCGCACAAAATCCTGCACGAGTTGCTTCATGTTAGGAAAATGAAAGTCGCGGCGCAGTCTGTGCAGCGTGCGCTGGACTCCTTCATGTCCATCCTCATGGACAGCGGCCATGATCTCCTGAACGAGGGGGACGCTGGGGGAATGTACAGGCGCCCGGCGAACTGCACCATGTTGTCGACGACCGTCCACGGTGCCCCGCGGGAGCCCGCGCGCACTTCGTCCTGGATAGCGACAAGGGCCGGGTCGGTGAGCTGTGCCTGGAGGAGACGTGTGACAGTCGAAGCGAGGGGCCGAGAGGGCCAGTATGGACCCTTCGTCCGCCGTGTCACGTCGCGAGAGAGCGTCGGCCACCGCGTTCGCCGTCCCAGGCTTGTACTCGACGGAGAAGTCAAAGCCCAAAAGCTTCCCCACCCAGTGGTGTTGGGGGATCGTCGCGAGCCGCTGATCGAGCAAGTACTTGAGGCTGTAGTGGTCCGTCTTGACGAGGAAGCGGCGGCCCCATAGGTACGGACGCCAGTGTCGGACGGCGTGGACGAGGCCGATGAGCTCCCACTCATAAGCGGCGAGGGCGCGATGGCGGGGCGCGATGGGGCGGCTGAAGAACGCAACCGGGTGGCCGTCCTGAACGAGCACCGCGCCGAACCCATGCGACGAGGCGTCGCACTCGATGATGAACGTCTTGGCGAAATCCGGCATGGCGAGGACCGGGCCCGAGGTGACCGCGGACTTGAGCGCGTCGAACGCCGCGGCCGCCGCCTCATTCCAGGAGAAGCCATCCTTTTTGAGGAGGGCTGTGAGCGGCGCGGCGATGGTGCCGTAGTTGTGGACGAATTTGCGGTAGTACCCCACCAAGCCGAGAAAGCCACGCACCGCCCGCGCCGAGCGAGGTACTGGCCAGTCGTGAATGGCCTACACCTTGGCCGGGTCCATGGCGACGCCTGTCTCAGAGATGACGTGGCCGAGGTACGCGACAGAGGCGACGCCGAAGGCGTACTTGGCGCGCTTGACGAAGAGCTGGTGTCGCCGAAGCTCGGAGAGGACGACGCGGAGGTGACGAAGATGATCCGCCCATGTCTTGCTATAGATCAAAATATCGTCAAAAAAGACAAGTACAAAGCGACGCAGGAACGGCCAGAGTACATCGTTCATGAGGGCTTGGAATGTCGCCGGGGCATTGCACAGCCCGAACAGCATCACCAAGAACTCGTAGAGGCCGTCGTGGATGCGGAACGCCGTCTTGTGGACATCTTCCGGCCGCATCCGCACTTGATGATACCCCGACCGTAGGTCCAGCTTGGTGAAGAACCGCGCGCCGTGGAGCTCGTCGAGGAGTTCGTCAACGACGGGGATGGGGAACGCATCCTCGACGGTGAGTGCGTTCAGGGCCCGATAGTCGACGCAGAATCGCCATGAGCCGTCCGCTTTCTTGACGAGGATGACCGGTGAGGAGAACGCCGAGTTGCTGCGGCGGACGATGGCCTGCTCGATCATGGCGGCGCACTGCCGCTCCAGTTCATCCTTGTGGGCTGCCGGGTACCGGTACGGGCGGACTGCCACTGGCGGCGCGCCCGGCTTGAGGACGATGCCGTGGTCGCGGGCGCGCTTGGGGGCAGTCCCGTGGGCTCGGCGAAGACATCCCCGAAGGAGGCCAGCAGCTCATCGAGGAGGGACTCGCTAGCCGTTGCGGCGTAGAGCCCCGACGCACTGGGCGTCGACACACCCATCCAGCAGAAGTTGCGCCCATGGCGCATAAAGGACATGGTGCGCTCGGCGAAGTCCCAGACGATCGGTCCCAGGGTGGCCATCCACTGAGTTCCCAGGACCAGATCGTACCCTGCAAGTGGCATGACAAAGAGATCAACGTGGAAGTCAGTGTTGTCGATGGTGACCGGCGTGTTCCGGATCACGCCGGGGCAGGCGACCTTCTCGCCATTGGCCACGGTCGCCGTGAGGCGCGGTCGGGGCTGGGCAGGCAGCCCAGTACGCAGCGCCGCCGCCTCGGCGATGAAGTTGTGGGTGGAGCCACTATCGAGGAGCGCGATGAGGGTGGTGGCGCCCAGTGACACCTTGATCTGCATCGTGTCGCAGATCGGCACGCCCGCGACCGCGTGCAAGGAGAAGACCGGCGTCTCCGTGCCTGGTGTCGCATCCGCCGCGGCGTCGTCGTCGGCGTCATCTTCTTCCACCACGCTGTCGAGGAGGAACAACCGCTTGCAGACGCGGTTGTGCCCACGACCGTACTTCTCGTCGCAGTTGTAGCATAGGCCAAGGCGGCGGCGCTCCTCCTGCTCCACCTGTGTCAGCCGCTTGACGGGCCGGCCTTCCACCGTGATCGTGGCCGGCGCGGTCTTGTCGGCCGTGGGTGCCGGCAGAGCGAGGCGCGCCGCTGGTGCTGGAAGAAGAGGGCGATCGCGCTGAGGATCGCGTGGGGGCGCGCGCGTGGCCGGCGCGACGTAGCTGTTCCACAGCTCTATCTTGCGGGCGAGGCTCATGGCCGCCGCCAGCGACTGAGGGTTGTGGATCTCCACGTCGTGGCTCAAGGGAGGCTGGAGCCCCGCCGTGAACAGCTGGACGCGCTGCACTTCGTCCAAGCGGCCGGCGCGAGGCAACAGCGCCTGGAACCGGTCCTGGTACTCCTCCATGGTCCCCGTGCGGTGGCACGCGGCGAGCTCGCCGAGGGGGTTGGAGCGGAGGGGCGGACCGTAGCGAAGATGGAGGAGCTCCTTGAAGTGGCGCCAGGAAGGGGTCCCCTCGTCCTGCTGGACTTGGTAGTACCACAACTGGGCGCCATCCTCCAGGTTATAGGATGCCATCCACACCTTCTCTTCCTCCATGTTTCGCTGCTGATGAAAATAGGAGTCGCAGCGATTGAGAAAGATCAAAGGGTCAGACTTGCCATCATAGCGCGGGAAATCCATCTTCTGGAATTTCGACGGCCGGTCGCTGTGGTGTTCGCCGGAGCCCGGCTTGCTGCCCGAGGAGGACGAACGATCAGAGGACAAGGCGGCGATCGCCTTGGCATTGGCCTCCATGGTGCCCTGCAGGGCTGTGACGGCGGTAGCGAGCGACTCCACGGTGGTCTTGAGGTCGCCCTGATCACCCATGGCGTGGATGCAGGAGGACGTGGTGGATGGGGACGTGGGGGTGGTTGGCGCGGCGGCTGGGGTCGGCGAGGTGGAGCGAGATGGCGAGGATCGCCAGGACCGTGGGTTGTCAAGGGCGTCGAGCCCTAGGGTAGCTGGCCCTTGGCTAAGGAGATCGTAGCCTCGGTCCGTCTTCTCCGGCGAGGTTTTGCCCCTCTGCCGTAGGCTTTCGTTGAGAGAGAGAGAGAGAGAGATTAGATGGGATAATAATCTTCCTTCCCCAACCAATGTGCGATTATAGGAATATATGGCCACCGGCCTCAACCGATCAGAGTTAAACGCTCCTGGAATTTAGGAACTGAAAATAGAAAGCTACGCTATCTTTTCTAACTTAGCCACTGGTGGTGGCCTGGCCCTGCGTGTCACCGTGCGCGCTCCCCGCGCGTGCTGCTTGTTCCGCAGCCCTGCATACGTCGCGGGCCCTCCGGCGCCTGGTGTACATGCGCCCCCACATGACATGAAGATTGATGGGTTATGGGAAAATGCTTTGACATAGCCACTAGCCTACGACATGTACAGTACACAAGTTAGGTCAACAGATAGTAAGCTTACACTGGATCGAATGAATCTGCTCTTAAATCCCTCCCGGCAGTTGTTCAGTTTGTCCACATAATTGAGCGGAAGGACATGTTCTACTCTTGCTTGCCAGGGGTAGTAGTGCTCAAGGACATCTCAATTTCCTCAAGAGAACGTCCTTTTGTTTCAGCTATGAAATTGTAGGCGAAGACTGCTGTCAGCAGGGAGACCCCACCAAAACCTGCATAGACTGCTCCAACCCCAAACTTGTTCACAAGCTCCAGAAAATATAGTCCCACCAGAAAGTTACATATCTGAAAACGATGCAACATGTAGGTTAGATTAAAAGTGTTGTGTTAAATTACATTTTTATATTCAGTGAGAATGTGGAGTACATACAAACTACAAAAGTAGTATTTTGATACTTTGGAAACTGCATACCCAATGTACAGTGAAACTGAAGCCCATAACTTTTGAGCGTGTCCGAGCACTGCTGAGCTCTGGTATGATGATGCCGGTAACTGGTCCAGCACCAAGTGCAAAAGTAAAAATGTACCTGCAAATGAAGAATAGATCTCACAACTAACAATCTTTTTTAAAATTATAACCAATTTATAAACACAAATTTCACAAGTCGAATTTCTAATAAATATTCTGAATTAGTAGTTTCATTACACATTAACAAGGTGAAAAACCAATAACTATATGAATCAAATTCATTTATCATGTCATGAAGCAGAGAATGTGCTAGAAAATCTTTCACATTATTCATGAGGTAAGTAAATGATTTTTATACATTGAGAAATCCACAGATGTAATTTCCACCAAATCTCTAAGCAAGCCTTCTGCTAATGAAGAACAACAATTGAAGATCTCGAAAAGAACTATACAGAGAACTTTAGTACTAAATCCGTTTCAAATTATAAGACGTTTCAGCTTTTCTAGATACATTACTTTTCCTATGTATCTAGACATAGTGTATATCTATGTGCATAGCAAATGCAACGCATCTAGAAAAGACAAAACGTCTTATAATTTGGAACGGAGGGAGTAGTCTCTATCAAGAACTGCTATCACACTCGACATAAAAAATAATGTCTTTAGTAAAGCTCTCTCAAGTTATCATATGCAACATGTGTTCAGTTCTCAAACTTGAAATATCTGAGAAACAACATATCTTATCGAGCTGATTTAACCTTAAGCAGTTTGATAGAGACAATAGAAAGTGAAAGTACATACAAAAGAGTTCCAGCGATTGATAGGCTGTGGGCAACTCCTTCATCAAGCGGGAAGCTAATACCATATACTATAAGGAACATTGCAAAAGCCTGCAGAAAGAACAGGATATAATAAATTAAACTGTATTCAAGGTCAAGAGCCCATCGACATGCACAAGAAACACAAGCATTGCTGACTCTGTCTCGATAACAATATGGACAGAAAGCAGGCACTTCCAATAAACTCTCCCATGACAGCAGAAAATGCAGAAACTTTGATAAGAAGAATAATTAGTTAATTAAGTATTAAAAGTTCTTCTAATTACCATACCATAAAAGGCTCCATTGCACATACCATTCCAAGGTAGCTTCCTATCAAAAGTTTCTTTCGCCCTTGCTTGTCCATCAAATTTGAAGCAACTAGTGCCCCTAAAAAGTAAAAATACATGGTACATGAGTTTGAGAACAAGTCGCTATAGAGCACAATACAAATAACCAAGTTTACTCACCTCCAAAGTTGGTTATTCCAACATATAAGCTTGCTAAAGCACCACTTGTAATACCAACATCACGGAATGTCAATGATGAAAAATAAAGAACACCATTTATTCCAGCAAACTGTTGCAGAAAGAAAAGGGACCCTCCAATCAATGCAACTGCATATACATTAGATAATAAGCTCTTGACAGCATAAAGAAAATTAATATACAACTGACTAAAAATTGCAGGAACATGAAGGTACTGTGGTGGCGGTGCTAAACATGCATGTTCCAAATACTATGACAGAACATCAGCAATAACTCATAACAGCAAAAGTCGAGAAGCAAACTTAGTGCCCAAATAACAGGTCGTCCAGTATGAGGCCTTGAAGTATGGAAGAATCAGAAGAATGTCTCAGGTGTAATCCAACAACCAAGCGTGCATGGATGCAAATGCATGGACATACACACACCCAAACATGCACTCTGCCAATGTAGTTCACAAGCATTTCATTTGGTTCCTTTAAACCATCCAAAAGAAAAGGTTATATCCTAATAAAAAGAAGTACCTCTATTATGTGGTTCCACCAGAAGGTCTGACCAGCTGCCCCGTGAATCATCATTTACCACAACGGCTTTGATCTCTTCCATGGACTTCTCAACTTCAGAAGGTTCCCAAAGGCTCTCTACAACCTTTCTGGCATCATCGAACCTTCCAGCCTACAAGACAGAGCTTTCTGATGCAAAAGGGTCTTGCACAACAAAATGGGACCCTATCAATTGAATCTTAAAGGAGTACCTTGGCAAGCCAACGTGGACTCTCAACAGCAAATTGCATCCCAGCAACAATAAGAACCCCAGGTACACATGCAGCATAAAGCATTGTTCGCCACCTACAGACAGAAACATAAAATTTTCAGTAACACATGAATAATCTGTTAACTACACAATGCATCTAGATAGTAACTAGTTCAGAGTGATGTAATGGATAAGTTAAAGTTCATTATGAAAGTTAGCTAAGTAGCTGACCCTTTAATTTGTTCTTTTAAGATAAATAGCATAATTTTTTTTGCTTTCATTACTATTTCCTCCACTTAATGGATAACCATTTGTTCTGAGCGAGTCATACATACACCCTAGCACATGGTCATGGTCCTCAACAAGGAATCCCTTGAACGTGGCCGATTTGCTAGCATTTTGTACTGGTTCTTGCATTTCTCATAAGTTGTTTAACCATTAGCATGTTGTATGTATATAGAAAAAAATGATTGGTTTAGATCGATTTTAACCTGATGATTCAGGCAGCGCATCCGACCCCAAGCGTTCAAAAATCGGATGCCTGGGATCGCTGCCTAGGCTAGGCAAGATCCTCAATCGTCGAAGCAAACAGGCCCTAGTGCATAAACCCTTGTGATCATTTTGCGAACTTTGTGTAACCATTCCACTTCTAGAAAAAAAAAATATGGTGCCCATGCCAGATAAGAAGCATCAGCAGGCTCATGAAGTATAATCCTAGCGTGAGGGAATTTTATACGCTGATGCGTTCTCAAAGCAGAATAAAGGAGGCCATGTACATGGCTATTCCGTGGCATATTCCGTACATATATATCAGGTGTCACAGTTTGCATCATATAAAAAATTGCCATCTCTAAAATCAGCCACCTACCAGGGGAGAAAAACCATAATTCCATCTTTTGTACTGTGATATACCATCACCCCTGACTGATTTTTTTAAAGAATATAAAATTAACATGACAAACTCAAGGCTTAATACTATACATTTGCATAAATCATCCATGCTCCTGAAATTTATTTCAAACTTTCCTTATCATATCTTGGTTCTATTCTTCTATTTGATGAGGAGTTATGAATAAAGGAGTGATGTATCTGCCTTGATAAGTACATGCCGTTATTTTTTTTCCTATTATCATGTAGTGCAACAGAAATAAATTTATAAATGATGACTTACATCATTAAGATGCAGAAATGCCAACAAGAGATGCCTCACCAATGTGGATCACTCTCAGAAGGTATCCCCAAGGAAAGTGCAGCAATTATGCCTAGACATGTTCCAATTTGAGACAGAGTTCCCAAAGTGCCCCTATATTTTGTTGGAGCAACCTAGAAAAAGCATATAAAAGGGTTAAATGGATATAGAGCTATCAAAATCATGACAAGAGTATTAGGAAATAGATTAGATAGGATATAAATGCGATGACCAATTGTGAAATAATAAAAGAAATCACCTCAGAGATGTACAACGGAACAAGAACAGTGTTTACGCCGATCCCAATGCCAACAAGGAATCTTCCCAAAAGCATATCATCCAAAGAATCAGCCTGCGCACTGTATCATAGCTTTTCCTTAAGGAAAAAACCATATGATAGCTTAATATACAACAAATGGTAATGTATGAAATAGAAATGCTGTTGAGAGGAAGTTCTGAGACTTGATGGCCAAATTCAATACAAGTAAATACTACACTGGTCAGCAGAAACTATGCAAAGTCAGGAATATAGAACACGGTAAAGTGGAAGTAAATACCTCAGGAGAGCTCCAATAATCAATGGAATACTGTCGATCTGAAGGGTCCTTTTGCAGCCAAACTTATCTACTAATGCAGATGAGCCTAAGCTCCCAAAAAAGGCACCAACAATGAATATGCTCACCACAAGACCTTGAAGGAACGGATTTCCTTGAAAACCAAGCTCTGTTGCAATATCCTCTATTGGGCCGTTCATGACCCTGCAACCATATCATGCACCATGGCTTAAGTTCAATGCTTTAACAAGCATATCTGCAACATAAAAATGTACAATACATTGCATGGCACAGCCCACTGAAGAGTCACATACCTATAAATTAAGATAATCCAAGTCCATTTTCTCATTATTACAATTGGCATATTATTTCCCAAAAAAAAACTAGTTGGCATATTCAACTAGTAGTGCAGGTGGCACTGAAAATGTTCTCAAACAAAATGGATTTATGGAGCAGTCATCCATTCTCTACTGTAATGCCATGCAGTGGTGGAATAAGCACTAGTGATCAGTTGAGTGAGATAGCTAATCACAGGTATATCACTCCTAAACGGAGGCACCGATGCAGAATCAATTAGCTTTAGCTGAAGTCTTGAAGATAAATTGAAGCAGCACACTGCACGCACCCAATGTGGTAACCGAATAAGAAGTTTGCCATGGACGCAGTGAGCACATGCGGGAACGCCCTCAACCACCCAAGATCAGAGCCGCCACCTCCGTCACCACCACCGTCACCTCCCCCGGCCCTAGCATCGAGGCCTATCACGACGAAATGAACGCCCGTGTCAATCCATCAGCACCAACAGCGCGAGCAACCAACAATCCAGCAGGCGGCCGCGCTGCCCCCACCTGATCCAGCCCTCTCCTCGTCCGGCGCCGGCGACGCTGAGGACGGCGGGGGCGGGTTGCTCTCGACCGCCGCGAGGCGCGGCGACCAGAGCTCGAGGCGCCGTGGCAGAGCGCGGAGCGCGGCCGCCCTGACCACGGCCGGCCGCGCACGCCGTGAGGGACCGGGCCGCGGCGGCGGCAACCGCGGTGCGGGAGAGGCGGGCAGTACCAGCAGCGCCGCGGCGAGGGGCGTCAGCATCGCGGCGATTCGTCGAGCAGGTGGTGGGTGCGGCAATGAAAGCGGGACAGGCGAGAGCGCAGAAGGGGTGAAGGAGGGAATAGGCTCCGCGCTCGCTGCCCGATTGCGTAGGCCGGCTTGTGACTGGGAGCGTGCCAGGTGTCAGGTTGCCTTTCCTCGGCGACTCGGCGTTAGTGCATTCCCGACTTCCCGTTGTTCCAACCTGTGTTGAAATTTGAAAATCGATGCAAAGATGATTTCGAATGAAAATAAAGGAAGCCAATGCAAAGATATTATATCCTGGAGATCTAATCAGTTATTATTGTGCTAGATAGTTGAAATTTATTGCCAAACTACATGTATCAAGTACACCACCATTTTGAACTGCAGTGCTATCGCCGACGTCCGGACGGACGTGCCTGCACTCCGTTTTGCACGCCCATGTGGGGCCCGCACCTATCCGAACGTCGCCCGTGCCTCCTGACCCCACACAGAGATCGCTCGCTACTTCCCCCGCCCGGCACCTGCTGCGGCAGGTGAGTCCCCAGCAACAATATCCGATCTACTTTTGAAATAGCCAGATAAAACATTTACAACATATGTCTGAAAGGCAGATGAAACATTTAAAACATGCGTCTGAAACACTTACAAAAACACCTGAAAACGCTTGAAACGCTATTGCAAAAGCATGTGCAACATCTAGATAAAACACTTGCAACATATGTGTGAAACATATGCAACATTCAAATAAACACATTTGCAACATACGTATGAAAAATAGATAAAACATTTAGAACAGACACTTGCAACATATGTGTATAGCCATTGCAACGTATGCAACATTTCGATCTACTTTTACAACATCCACATGAAACACTTGCAACATGCATATGAAACCCCTAAAACACTTAAACATACGCTTGCAACATGTCTGACGCGACACTCTAGTGGACAGCGACCACCATGTCTGGCAAGCCTTGAGGCGGTCGCAAAGTACGGCACGACCACGGCGCCCTTATCGTCTCTAGCCGTAGGAGGAGGTGATAAGGAGGACGCCAGCGCTGGCGACGGTGATGAGGCGACGGATGTGCGGGAGAGGGCCCTTGTATTGGTACCCGAAGCGAAAGCCATCCGAGGATATGAGCAACACCACAGGCTTGGGGGAGCTTGGAGATCGGACGCTGCAGTCACGACGGTAAGGGACGAGCGGAGTAGGACGAAGGTCATGGCGGCGATGAGGGCCAGGGTGAGGAGGAGTGGGAGGCAGGGGGCGAATGAAGGTTGGGGTGCGTCCATGGAGGAGGAGAGGAGAGCGGTGGTGGGCCACGACGAGTCGCCGGGGGTTCGGACCTCGATTGAAGGTTGGGGTGCGGCCATGGAGGAGGAGAGTGGAACGTGCGTGCGGCTTGCAGCTGGCAGCTTGCAGAGTGGGGGATTTTTTTTTTTGAGGCGGCATGGGAGTATGAGATATTTGTGAATAGATGGACGACGTGAAGCCACGTAAAATCTGGTGTCCGAACATCCTAATCATAGCACTACCATTTTCAAACCACTTGAGTAAGCAATACTTGATGAGTTTGGATTACATTAGTCATGTTTTTTTTTCATAAATCTAAACATCACTCGAGTGTTTTATTGACAACATCTAGCAATCGGAATTTTCCCCGTCCTATTTGTGTTCCAAAATCAAGCTCCCATCCAATCCAAAACATCTAATAAGGTCATCTTTCTCCAACCTTGAAGATGGCTCCTGGTTTGGGGGCTCATCGATATCCTTGAGAGTTACAAGGGAATATGGGAGCGAAAAATAGGACCGGCGTTAGTGGTAGGCACGTGGACATCATCAATGAAAGTTTGAAGGAGCCGAGTTAACGTGGGTGCAGTTGGTGGTGGTGAGGACCCGCAAGAAATGAGGAAGGCGGGCGGGATGACTTGACAAAGACTGAAAGAGCAACCGCATCGGGGTAGAAAGACGAGTGAAGTCACTGCGGCGAATGGACAAGGTGTAGAATGTGTGCATGTGAGGGGGGGATAAGATAGTGAGGGGGTGTTAACCAGAATAGTTGATTCTTGATCGGATGTCTAATTGTTAGTGACATCCAAGACACCTAAAAATGGTGTAGAAAGCATCTTTTTTGCTTGGGATTGTGGAAAGTAGCTTTAAATGGTAATTGAAAAAAAATAGGTACGTTTTGCTCACATTTTCCACAGTCTAGCATCCCTTTGTCACAATCCAACAATGTGTTAACAGCTAACATTTTTCAGCGTGATTGAAAATATATGAAAGCAACAGGATATTCCGTCTCTCACCCGCGTCGCCCCTCCCGAGCGTCTCGGGCGGAACCACCAGCATCGCCGCCAGGGACTCTCCTCCCGCCCTCCCTCCACCTTGCCGTCGCCAGAGTGTGCCTCCGTACACCGGTGGCCACAAGGAAGGCGGCGGCGAGGCTTCTTTCCCCCTCTTCTCGCCATGGGGGCCTCTCCTGGAGCTTGGTCATGGTGGCGGCCTCCCCTTCCGGCTGCAGTTCCGGCGGCCTAGGGGCCAGATCCGGCAGCGCGGTGGCTAGATCCGGTGGCCCTGTGGGTCATGCTAGCCTGCGCGCGTGGATCGGGGCGGCCTTGGGGGCGCAGCGGCAATGAGTTGGGTGGTGGCGGATGCGGCCGCTTCGGCGTGGATGTGGGCGGCGGCGGCGGATCCGGGCCCAACGGCGCGGAGGTGCATCTGGGAAAAATTTATCGGCCGAAATCTAATGATATTTCCGATATATCCTTTTTATCCGTCGGTGCCGATAAAAAAAATATCTATTTTTTCGTACGAATTTTATTTAAATTTACTTAAATTCAAATTAAATTTTTTTTGAATTTGGTTCGATATTTCCGATATATCCTGTTTATCCTCTTTATCTGTGACCCCCGATAAATTTTAATTTCCGAAAATGAAAACCTCCGTGCAACAGCGACAGCTCTCGTTGTCCTCCTTGTGCGTGTCGGGTGGTCTGGAGCGAGGCGGAGCGGTCCGCGGTGCTGCATGCAGCGGAGGCAGCCGAGCACGCGCTCGAGGATGCCGCGGCCGCGGTGGTGGCCGAGGGGCGATGGATGGTGGCCATGGTGCTGATGCTTGTGCAGCAGCGGCCCGACCTGCAGGCGGAGGTGGTGCAGCTCTAGGGGCTGCTCCACAGGGTTACCTCATTCATGCTGAAGCATCCTGTGGTGGCCGACATTGGTCTGGTTGACAACGGTTCGACGGCCGGCGTTGCATCCGTCTTTGGTGCAGCAGCGGTAGCTGGCCTACGGCGACTCACCTCGGTCGTGGCCTCGGCGGCTGACCTCGCTTAGCGATGGTTAGTGTCGGCGAGGTCACGGTGGCTCGTTTGCTAGGCGAGGTACAGTGGTTACGTCGGTGACAACAATGCATAACTACCGCTATCTGTGGAGTACATTGGAAGGGTTCGGTTGCGGCGCTCATACAAGTGGATAGTGGAGCAGCATGCTTCCTCAGGGTCAATCTTCGGGGGGCTGGTATCTACTGGTTGGCTGCGGTCTATCGACTGGCGCGGTTGCGACTAGCCACGCATGCCTATGGCGGCTCGCCGCTGCTGCGACAACCAGCGGATGGCGGCTCGTTGAAGACGGTGGCTTGTGTGGGGATGCTCGTGGTTTTCTATAGAAGCTTGTGGGGTGTCGATGTGCAACGGCGTTGGCGGCGCTCTTTGCTTGGTGCAGGAACAAGATGTGGCTTCTCCCGGTGGCTAGTACCATGTAAGAGGGAGGCAGCTCTAGCGGGCTCGCGTGGTGGTGGCAGGTCAAGCATGCCTTTGACCTTGCCGTTGACACAGCGATCTCTTGCTGGTGGCAGTTGGCTGTGGTCGTCCACGATGTGACTGGTTTGGGCTTGGGTGTTGGGGGTTTACGGGCGAAGGCCCTACGAAGCCCTTGGTTTTGGACGACAACGGTGATGCCTTTGGTAGCACATCCCTCGTTGGAGGCATTGTCGTGAGGCCCCCCTTACCCTAAGGAGTTCGGTTGAAAAACCTGGGTTCTCCTTTCGGCGTTGTCGGCATCTACGGATGTCGTTACCCTCCTTGGATGCATCCCTATGGAAACCTACTCTCCCTACTAGTTTACGTCGCTTGTGTCAATGGCGTTCGGAGTGTCGTTTGATAGCTGTTGCTTCTGAGGGTCGTGGTTTTTGTGTTTCTTGCGGTGGTGGTTCTGTTGTTGCCTCCTTCGCGAGGTTGTAGTTTTTTATTTTATTTTTGGTTTTGTAATTGCTTCTTCTCTATTAATATATGCCGGGCATACTACTGTCGATGGCTCTTAAAAAAAAGAAACCAATTCATCACCGTCAGGGATATTCCTGTTTTCAGTGGTTAAAGTTCCTAATATTTTCATTTTTAAAAAGTTACACCAAGTGGGTTCTTTCTAATGAATGTTTGTCATGATAATTGTAATGGCATAATTTTAGGCATCCTTTTTTAAAAACTTGGTATGTAGGTATTGTTCTTGATGCTAGAAAAGGAAAAGCTTCTATTGATATATATTGATGGATTGAAGTCTATACATGATTTTATGCCTTAGTCTGGCAGAGTTTAATTCTCATTCCCTGATAATGAGGAGGTGGAGGGTATTTGTGTTGTTAATAACTTTAAGGGGTCCTCTTCAAAGAGTGATAGAAGGAGAGACTCAAGGTAGTGTTTCAAGTGAGGACATGATCACAACGTCAAAAGGAATTAGAGGCTGTCAGAAGAATATATCCAAAAAAACGTCCCTTGCACTGCACGTCCCTCCGCCCCTCGGTGCGCCGCCGACGCCGTCCCTTCACGTTGCGTCGTTGCTGCCGCGAACGAGACTGAGCTGGGACTCTCCGTCTCCTGCGGATCGAACAAAAAATCTGAGTCTAAAGTCAAATAATCCTATGGACCTGAGTGAGCTAGGCTGGACACAGTCAATAGGGCTGGACGGCCTAGATCCAAATCGAAATTAATTTTAGTTAACTATTCCGGCACTTTAAGATCTGTGCAACTTTTTAAAAGAGGACTATCGGAGCAAAACTCATGAAACAAAACTCTTGCCGTTCTTTCAAAAAAGAAAAGAAAATGATTGCATATATACTAGTAGCAGATTTAAAAGGCACCGTTCTCCTCGCATTCATATGGAAGCTATAGAACGTTAGAAGCCGGTAATAGAATATCAGAGGAAGCCAAGCAATGCTATATGAGAAAGAAGTAATTAAGCTGCTCAATGCATTCTGTAATCATGCTTCCAAAACAGCACGTGCAAAGCGGTGCCCCCTGTGGGCTGCAAGCGAAATGATCGTAACAACACATCCTATAGTGTCAGTGTAACCATGCCTTAATGGGTCCTGTTGGTCTAGAGGCACCACCGTCAATTAGTAGTCAAGTTGCTAGGGCTTTTGTAACCTCCTCTGCATGCATGCCTATAGAAGTTGACCGCGCGGCTCTGTTTGTACAGTGATTACAGCCGCTGCTGCATGTTCCTCTCTCTCTCTAGTACTGTAGCTAACATGCAGCTGCAGCACAAATAGCGCTGCAATAAGCGCAGCCGATGAGGGATCCAGATATCCTCATTCTGCGATTGATTCAGAGATCAGAGCAATCCAATCATCTGACTGTACATGCATGTAGCTGTACTACTGTATAGGCAATAATTTAATAAGCAACAACCGACACAATTTAGCCATGATTAGCCATTCGGGTTTGGATGTTGGCTACCATTTCAACTGACGATCATGATTTGCCAGAAGGATCCGTGACATGCATGATTGCTAGGTACGGTGATGAATGAATCTTTCGTTTCTGGAAAAAGTTTCCAGACGCTTGCAAGCGGTCGGATCGGAATCGAAGAAGCACACATTGTAATGTAGAGGCAGGCCACATGTGTCCGCAGCTAAAACCCTTCGTTCCAAATTATAAGTTATTTTTATTTTTTAAGAGTCAAAACATCTAAAGTTTAACTAAATTTATATAATAAAATAATTCAAAATAAGTATCATTAAATTCTTCATTAATTATATTTTTATAGTATACCTATTAGATATCATAAATCTTTGATCATATTTGAGATTCTTGACTCTTCAAGAAAACTGAAATGACATAATTTGGATGGGAATTCTACTGGACTGGACTAGCTGACACTACGTACTGCGGAGACGTATATATGTAGAGTGTACTCTGATCGCTTCTCAAATGGCACATTCTCACTTAATCACATGTGTTCATCTATGTACCAGTACAACATGCATGTTTAGTTGAGACGTTGAAATAACCATATTAAAGGCCACATCTATGTACTGGATACGAGTATTAAAGTTGGTGAAAAAGGTGACTAGCTAGACTGCTAGAGCGATGCTGGAAATTTGTCGGTTTCCATGACTTGGATCATCCATACATGGATCAGCCACGCATGATGCATGCAAGGCTTGATCGAGATTCTAGCTAGCTCCCGTCAGATTGAATCTTTCCTGTTCCTGTGGGACGGCGACGTCCCAACGCATGAACCTAGCTAGGCAGCAACAGGAAGGCGACGTGTCACCTAACTAACTAACTAACTTGTGCATGACGAGCTAGCTAGCTAGTTAGCTTATGCATGGTCAATGATCAATTACGTACAACGCAGCATCTATCCTAATTCCATGTCGATGATCAATTACACGCACAGTGATTACTGTAGGAGAAAGAAAACTAAAATAGACAAGTCTTTGCTGATCCCTAGCTATCTAAAGCTTCTGTGGGAAAAACAGATGACAGTTGTTGTTGGCATGATGTACGAGACGCTCGTAGATTTCAATGCAGACATGCATCGTTTTCTTTTCTCGCAGTGAAGTGGCACCGGTGACCGACGGTCGTGAAGCTAGGGAACGTGTTTGATGCATGGGACTCGGACTGCCCTTGTCTGTTTTCTGCTGGGTGCTGTATTGACCACGGCACAGGGACATCTATCGTTGATCGTTGTGGTTGGTTTGACACCGATTGATATATTGATATTGACAGGCGTAGGTGTGACGTGAACGTGATGTATCATGTCCTCTCCTCTCGTGGACTTGCTTGGAGCAAGCGATCCCGATCCCTCTGTTTTGTTGAAAAAAAAAAGGAAGCCCCCACCTCAGGGAAACCTGCATGCAATTCCGTTTCCGAATTTCGTCTCTCTTTTTTTCACCGTCCCGGCGCGATTCCGGTACGTGTCGGCATGCATGGGCCCGGCACGTACGTCGCACGGCTACGTTAAGTATGCTATATAGGCCTGGGCTGGATGTCCGGCCCATTCGCAATAGCCACTGTTATAGGCTTCGTCATTAAACCCGCGGGGGGGCCCTTGGCCCGGCGACGCGGGACGGCACCACGTGGTCGGCCGATGCGCCAGCACGGCGCCTGCTCCCCCCCTCGGGCTACTACTTCTGCGGAAGGCGGCGGCCACACCGCGCACCGCTACTGCTTCAGTATGAGTGCCCTGGCCTGCCACATGACCCCACCACTAAAAAACTGGACTTTACCGAGTGCCCGAGACTTTGCCGAGTGTTTTTTATCGGGGCACTCGGCAAAGCACTCGACAAATATGGCTTTGTCGAGTGCCAGGCACTCGGTAAAGCCCGGCTCTCGGCAAAACTGGGCTTTGCCGAGTGCTGCGGCACTCGACAAAGATCCCACTCGACAAAAGGTGGCCGGCCCGTGACGGCGGCCACCTGCCGTCAGATTTTGTCGAATGCCTAACGGCTGACATTCGGCAATTTTTTTTATTTTTAAAAATTTATTTTGCCGAGTGCCAGCCCCAGGCACTCGACAAATTTTTTTTTTATTTTTGAAAATCAACTTTGACGAGTGCCTCTTGGGCCGGCACTCAGCAAAGGCCACTTTGCCAAGTGCCCTCCATGGTACTTGGCAATTTTTTTTTTGATTTTGGGCTCAAAATTTTTTCTGGGGCCCTGTGACAGTATTTCAAACTCTATTTTAAAATTTGAGGCAATTTTGACTTTTTTTTATATATTTTATTAGTTTATTTCGTTTCGTCGATTTTTTTTGGAATATTTTAAATTTAAATTGCAGGTACATGGAATAATGGACTTTGGTCATCCAAAAATTGATACTCATGATATTTATGGTATGTTTAGGCCGTATCCAGGAACTCACATGAAATCTCAAGCATCTCGTTGACGTAACATGTCGAGGTACTTGCCGGAAATGTGATTTTAAATTATATAAAATACAAACGAAGTCCGAAAATCACGAAACTTGTCGAGGCGTCGTGTTATCGCATGTGGAGGCTATGGTAAAAAATTGTGAAGGTTTCGAGCAAGTTGTGATGTCGGATGCCAAAAACACAGACATCTCCACATGTTGAACTTGTAATAATAAACTTATAATGTTGAACTTTGGTGCATTTGTGATGGATTTTCGATTGATTTATTAAATATGCGTGTGCTTGTGATATATAATGCATGTTGGTGATATAGATATGATGATTGATGTGTATATATATATATATATATATATATATATATATATATATATATATATATATATATATATATATATATCTGTTACAATGGAATGTAATTTTTTTTTTGCAATTCTCGGGGTCTTTGCTGAATGCCATGGGCAAGACACTCGGCAAAGATTTTTCAAAAAAAAAATATAAAATTTCTTTGCTGAGTGTCTCGCCGCGGCACTCGGCAAAGTATTTTTTTTAAAAAAAAAATTAGAAATTCTTTGTCGAGTGTCTAAAAGGAGCACTCGGCAAAGAAATTATTTAAAAAAAAACTTTGCCGAGTACTTAGAGGCACTCAGCAAAGTAATTTTTTTTTTAAAAAAAAAAACTTTGCCGAGTGTCTGGGTAAGGGCACTCGGCAAAGTACTTTTTTAAAAAAATATATAAAAACGAAAGAAAACCCTAAAGGGCAAGTAACTGACTTCTCACTCTCTTCTCTCCTTTCCTTGCTCTTTCACGCACACAGCTGCACAGAGAGGAAATACGGACGGTGTGGCCGTGTGGCACCGCGGCGCTCGGCTCGCCGGTGCATGCGTGTGGCAAAGCTGCGCGTGGCTCCGTCAAGCCCGGCACCGGGTGCCCTTATGCCGGTGTAGGAGCACCAGCGGCAGGTGGCTGGACTGATGGCCACCAGTGGCGGCGCTTAGCAACCTAAAGCCACGGCGGCACCTCAGGCCGAGCTGCCGTGAAGCGCGCAGGTGGCTGGAGCCTGACGCGCATGCGTGTGGCCGTGGTCCCGATGCGTGGCTTGGCCGTGAAAAGCGCCAAAACTCATGCCTCGCACGGTTCTTTGCATCTTAGGTTCGTATTAGTTTGATCCCCTCTTGTGTGCTGTGCCGAAGGGGATTCGTCATCAATTTGATGGGATCTATTAACCCATGACTGATTTGAGTTTGCTTTGCTTATGCAGATTTGGGGAAGCTTTTTGGGGATTTTTCTTAGGATCTCAATCTTCGCCCAAATCCTCTTCTTCTGTTTGCTGTTGTGGGGATCGAAATCAGGGGAAAGTAACCCTTTACTTTTTGGTGATAAATTTAGTGTTACAATGTGCCACGAATGTTATTTTCAACATGGTATACACGTTTTGTTGGTCGATTTCTAGACTACCATGTTACATTCGACTATGATTTTTTGTTTGAATGTAGGCAAAGCAATTTAACTATTGTAATTCCTAAAACCTCGGTCCAACATGGTAGGGAAAAAGGTGAAATGCTTGTCTTGTTTGCTGTCCACCAGAATTATACTGCAGTTGAAGAACCTTAATGAGCAGCATTATCTGGGTGCCTAGAATCATGGTTCGAAAGGTGTTTTCAGGATTACCTGTACTGATGAACCAAAAACATTAATCAAATTAAAAACAAGTGTATTCACGCCAAACTAATGTTTCAGCCAGTTTATATGAGTTACATCAGTTACTTTACGACAAGTATTTTTCTTTTTCCTATATAGATATTTCTGCCTCGGTGGATTAGAAAATTTTCCCATAACAACAAGCATTTTTCTTTGTAATCTTAGTTCCACAAGCATTGTGTAATCTGTACTCACAATAATGCTATTTTACACAGGCCGTACTGAAGATCATTAAGCACTGTGAGGAGTTTGTGCCTGCTCTAGTTACAGGTCAATTGCTTGGTTTGGATGTTGGTAGTGTTCTGGAAGTGACCAACTGTTTTCCCTTCCCTGTGAGTCCTCACTCCTTAACATTCTTAGCAGCTCAGTACTGAATATGTATTCTTCTGCCATGAAGGTCTTCCAGGGTAGTTGTTCTTTGAAATTTCATAGGCTAATGGCTACCTTACTATTTTTACTGCAGATTAGAAAAGAGGATGATGAAGCAGATGCAGATGGTGCCAATTATCAGCTCTAGATGATGAGGTGTTTGATGGAAGTTAATGTTGACAATAATACTATTGGATGGTAATTGCAGAAAGCAAAAGAGTCTATTTCGAGGTTATATCCCTAGTTCAAATTATATATGACTGATTATGTATTGCCGATATGGTACATGTGCAAATTATGTAAGACTGATTATGTATTACCTTAAGCTTGAATCTGGGTATGATATGTGCTACATGTTTTCTCATTATATTTATTTTTTGGGGGGTATATTTATAGTGTCCCGTTGAACAATCTGTCGCTATAAATACATGGACTATTGGACGATCTATCGGTATATGCTTGGTAACAGAGCATCTGTCGCTAAAAAGTAGCAATGGACTATCTGTTGCTATAAATATTCAGGTCATGTCAAGCTCTATGACTTTGATATATAATTTGTATTCATACGGCTTCATATGAAAAAATTATGCTGTTTATGTATAAGAGAACGGGAGACCAAATGACAGATGGGCCCTACTACCACATCAGCAAAACCACCCAAGAAACCATTTCAAAATGGCCAAGATGATATTTTGGGTCTGTTTGGCACATGGATCTGGCTCCGGCTCCGTTAGCTGCAGAGGACTCGTCCAAACACTTTAGAAGGGGTCATTTTTTAGTGAACCGTAGAGAAGAGCTGGAGCCGTTTTTAGCTCTAGAGAGCTGCAATTTGTTACTTGAGGAGTCATGTCAAACAAGCCATTTGCCTTGTTTCAAAAGTTGAGGTGTGTATGTTGTCTGAGGGAGTCTTTCAATTTCAGCGATTAGTTAGGGGAGTTAATCGGACTCTACACTTAAAACAAATATGGTATTAAATACATAGTATTAACGATTTGTAGATTTGTTGCGTAGGTAGAGCCGCTCCCCACACACTACCAAGCTATGCCATCCACTATGCAACGCTGTTTTAGGGGAAAGATCAGTTCAAAATTAGTTGCTTGACATCAATGGACACCAGAAAGGCACAATGGATCCGCAATGATTCATCAGATGGAATAGATCTGACAAAATGGTGAGGAAACTACATGGTATCGGGGCAGACGATGTACATCCAGATCAATTCCATGTTCCCAACATAAATGCTGCCTATGGAATTGCAACTTTCTTTTTCTTTATGTCAATAATATATGATCCGAGATATACTCTTAGGGCACGTACAACGGTCTCTTAACTCTCGTCCCTTCAACACAATTTTTACAGAAAACACCCCGCAGGAGCCTGGAGACGGAGTCGGCGTCGCCTCGCGAGGCGACAGGAATGTCCCGTGCTCCGAGGCGGAGAAGACGGCTCCAGCAGCGATGTACGGCCCGCCTCCTCGACTCGTCGCTGCGCGGATCCCAGGCGCTCCCGCGCGCGGCTATGGTTTGGCTGCGCGAGGGAAGGAACTATCGCGGTTGTGGCGTTGCGCTGCTCCTCGGCGAGCTGCGACGGCTAGACCCTGTTGACGGCGACCATGGTGACCGCGGCCGTGGCCAGGAGTGCCCCGCGGAGACCTTGAGCGCGGCCATGACGGAGGCCGCAAGCGTCAGGGAGTCGGTGGAGTGGATCACCAGGTCGATTGATTTCCTTCCTCCGGGATCTATTCTACCTTTCCATGATTTACACCTGATGGCTTGAAGAGAGCTTGGAGAGGAATTGAAGTCTGTTTCCTTTCTCTGATGAACTATCTAGGCTTATCTACCATGCTATGATCTACCTTGCCAGATGATTCTGTACTGTTAAGTTTCTAAATGTCCTGAAACTTTTGTTCAGTTAAGTTTCTGAAAACTGGATGGTGGTGATATTTTTGTACTGTTAAGTTTCAGTTAAACTTTTCTTCAATTATAAACTGGATTGATAGTGGTGATATTTCTGTACTGTTAAGTTTCAGTTAAACTTTTCTTCAATTATAAACTGGATTGATGGTGGTGATATTTCTGTACTGTTAAGTTTCAGTTTTACTTTTGTTCAATTAAACTGGATGGATGGTGGTGATATTTCTGTACTTTTGTTCAGTTTAAGTTTCTGAATGTCCTGAAACTTTTCTGAATGATGATGTGCTGATTTCACTGCCGTGTGCTGATTTTAGTGCCCATGTTCCTAACATCTTTTCCACTATTTGTTTCTCAACTTTTCAGCAAAAAAGGCAGAGGACAATGAGCAAAAGGAGACACTTAGATGCTGATTTTTCTGATGAATGAATCTGACAAAGGCTACCAATATGTTTCTATCTATAATGTTATTTGTTCTCATAAAACTGAGATCACCGTCTACATTGTGTGAACTCACTCCCTCTTTGATCATCTTGGGAAAATTTGCCGAAGGAGTGATTAAATGTTTTGGTAGAGAATATTTACGCACTCCAAAAGCAATGAACTAGAAATTCCGCTATCAGAGCTTGGCCAACACATAGAAAACTCAAGAAGGATCTAATCGAGCACATATGGCAACGCTATGGAAACAAAGGAAATTAGACAGAAGGCGTTGCGACTATGTATAGCATAATTATTATATTGATGGTTTCTAAAAAATATATTATAATCATATTGCTCTTATTTATCCTTATTATATATTTTTTCTATCAAATAGCCATACAATGATATGCAAAAATTTATTTATAGTTGATCCTAGCTACATACAAAACATTAAACAGCTTAGAGACAGAGCCCCGTCTGTTGAGTTGTATGACCTGTCTTTATACATGTCTGTACAACATAATCGAAGTACTTAGAGACGGACCCCGTCTGTGGGTTGTACATGCCCTTATACTATGTACTTTGTGTATCAATAGCCGCACTATAGATGAAGGTGTAATTAATATTAACGGGCCATCCAATCATATATAGAAATAAGTACCCTACAACTCTAGATGTTGTTTGGCTCTCTAAAATGTAACGCGGCCCCATTACAGAGGGCATTCGTTAACTTTACACATGTTTCCTTCCTACTTTCTGTAGTCGGCGTTATTTAATTCCTCCATTTTTATGAGCAGAGCATAATCAATCATCCCAACTCTGTTTCCAGTGTTATTTGATTCTATTTCCACTCACGTTAGCACTCAATGAACAAGTACTCTCTTCCTTTCAAATTTTAAGACGCTTTTTTTCTAGATACATTGCTTTTGCTATGTACTTAGATTACACTATGTCTAAATACATAGCAAAAGCCATGGTTGTTCAAAATTGTTTTATCGATATCAATGAACACTAGAAACGTCTTATTCTAGAGATAGAGATGATGGTACGCGGCATCGCCTAACATGGACGAAATATGACCCTTGGTGAAGAAAGCGAGTACTAGCGCAAAGGACGATGTAGGATTGCAAGGACGGCAGATTTTGGAGATTTGCTCTCTTGTTCGCCAGTGCATGTTGGTGCTCGCGATAGAGTGACTACAACAACGGCGCAGAAGTAGAAAGAGGTAAAACCCTAACTCGACTAGATGTGTTTTGGGGAAGACTGATAGGTTGTATATATATACGAAAACATCACAATCTTGTGTCACTATCATGATCTAGATCGATCAAGTTTTTAACTTGCAGACTTAAGGCCAAGTAACCAAAAGATAGAACTGCAAAGAGAGGCTTTGCTCCCACAAAGTCATGGGCCGAATTTCAGCGAACCATCCACGTAAGCTAAAGGTGTGTTTGGTTTCATGGATATCCATAGACGGGACATGGATATTCATGAATATAGGGGGGCTTGGTTGGATGGACAGGCTGAACTTAGATATCCACAATAGAGAATATTCTAGGTCGACGTTGGATATCATGGCCCTCAGAAATCTGGCAAATGAGCTTATCCACATGTTGATTAGCGCATGTTTTCGGTGACAATTAGAGTAGTATAGTGCTAATTAACATATTTTTATTTTTAATTAGTGATTTATAATGACAAGATTAGTGCCGGTGCATATTTATCAGTGTATAATTAGTTGTTATTATTTTTAAATAATAGATATAATTAGTCAAGTATTCTCATCCCATCCAATCTCATCCATCCAACCAAATAGAAAAATGGCTCGCCCCATCCATCCATCCAACCAACCAAACAGATAACATCGATATCCATATCTAGAAAATCCATAGATGACCATATCCTATCCACACTTGTCCTCAAACCAAACACACCCTAAGTGTCCTGCGCACATGCCTTTCGCTCCATGCCAAAGCTGCCGAGGTGAGGCGAGCGAGCGTGCATGTACGGTGTCTTCCTTCTCTTCCTACACACATGGCTTAGTGGAGTGGAGGGGAATTTGATATTTAAAAGGTTACCCTCCACTTTCACTAACAAGGTGAGACTAAATATTTCACCACTCTTCGGTTGTCATTTATGAATGGATATTTGAGATTTATTTGGAATTAATAGAATGCTCATATGAGCTGAGCCTATTTATTCTAAAAATCTCTGACCATATCTCGAATGTCCATTAGGGTCCGTTTGGATGTACATATTGGATGGTTGGCATTGAATTGGGTATCAATACCAAATCAACCTAGCATTGGAAATGAGCCACAATACCAAATAAGATGTTTGGATGTAGATGAAATTGCTATTTGGAATCAAGGACATGGCAAATACCAAATAAATGTTTGGATGTACATATCTCGTCGAATTGAATCGACTCGCCTTCTTCCCCACCGACGATGTCCTCAGACGCGGCGCGCTGCCCTGGAGATGCAAGACCTGGCTCGCTGGTGACAGAGAGGAAGAAGGGACTTGAGGAAGAAGGGGATCCTAGATCCCCGGCTGCAGACCGTCGGCGGTGGGGATCCGAGCACCTCAGTGGTGGCCTCGAGAAAGAAGCGCTCGTCCTCGACAGAGTCCCTCATATGCGACATAGCCGGACTCGAGGAAGAACCGCTCGGCCTCCTAGATCCATTGTTGAGCATGGGAAGAAGGAGAGGATCCCACACCACACCGGACATGGGGAAGAAGGAGAGGGCGGCGAGCTTGACCGGCGGGGGAGGGGTCAGGGCGGCGAGGGCGCTCGACGGGGGAGGCGTCGGGCTGGTGAGCCGGTGGGGGAGGGGTCGGGGCAGCGAGGGCGCCCGGCGAGGGAACATCGGGCCGACGAGGTTGACCGGCGGGGGTGCAAGAGGGAAATGTCGGAGCCATGAGAGGGAAGCGTCGGGCGGCGTCGGGGACTCAGGCAGGGAACCGCTCGGCCCAATTCCACCCAATACAGAGCCTTACCCCTCTGTATTGGGAGATGTCACTCCTAGTTCTGGTCCAATAACAAGGCATTGGGGTTGCAATTCTAAGGGGCTGTTTGGGACTGCTCCACAAACTCTGCTCCATAAACTCCACCGTGGAGCAGCTCCACAAAAAACTGGAGTTTGTGGAGTACCTCTTTAGGTGCTCTCACAACTCCACCCTTTTTTCTCGAGCAGAGTGCGTGGAGCTGAAACTGTTTGGCTAAAAAACGTGGAGCGAAGCTGAAAAACATGGAGCGGAGCAGTCCCAAACACCCCCTAAATCTCAATGCCATGGACATCCAAACACCAGAATTCGGGAAACATGATTCCAATTCCCAATTCCAGGCTCCAATATCTACATCCAAACGGGGTATTAGAGATTTGTTTGTTCCCACTATTATTTAATATATCAGTATTTGAGTAGAGACATTATTATAATTTGTTGTTCTAGTTAACCAAAAGCGTTGGTGCTTATACAGGCCCGGAGGCCGCATGATTGCTGGACCGTTGTTGTTGCCTGCTGGCAGTATAGGCTCACAGCTGGTGGTGTATGGAGGCAAACAAACATTCGAAACTAATGGGGTTACAGCCATGTGGTAATCACTATGATCCCTCTTTTGCGCCTGTCCTCATCGCAATTACGAGGCATGATTTGTCCCCCACCAACGTGTCAGGCCAGGCCGGCCGCCGGCGGGGCAAATCTAAAGCGTGGATGCGACTGGTCCGGCGTGCGGCACTAGCTAGACGCACCGGCGGCCGCAAATGGAAGCGCGCAACGCCGACGCGGCGCGTGGAGGCCTGTAGGGGTGCGTGCATGCCAGATAAGGTGTGCCATCGTCGTCGAGACTCGAGAGAGATGGACAGAAGACGCGCACTGGCCGGGTGGATCATCGCCTAACACTTTATTTCTTCGCGTCATCGCGTGCAAGGGGACACGTACGCGCCGGGGCTCGATCAAAACGTCGGCGGTCATGCATGCACTGCCGCCGGGCTCGCGTGAGTGGAGCCGGATCGGGACGTACGTGTGATCGATCGCCGGCGACGGTCGACTCGCCGTGCACGTAGCATCCCCGCGCGCGCGCTCGCCGCTGAATCGTCATCCACCGATGGCAAGGCGGCACGGCGCCAGCTAGGTATCTAGCGCCGAGCGAGAGCGAGAGAGACCACCGTCATGCATGTCGCGTTGACACGGTTGCTCATGTCGCGATAGTGGCCGCTGTTCCATCCACTCTTTTCGTCCGCGTGCCCCAGCGAGGCCTTGTTCGGTTCGGTCGCATGTCTTCAACGCAACCACGACTCCTGAAATGGATATACTACGCAGTGGCAGTGCATTAATCACTTCAATGTACTAGTACGTAGAGTATGATGTCTCAGCTGCTTAGTGCTTCAGGGCCGTACCTACAAATTGGAGGCCCCTGTGAAATATAAGATAGGGCCCTAAAATCTAAGAAGCCAAGCCAAACAGGCCAGCCAGCATTGGCTACCGAGCTTACGTCCTTATGGTCCAATTAATTAATCGATAATCTAAGATTTATATTGTAATATTGCATTTTATTTCTTCTATCTAATAATTGATCAACCATTGTTAATTAGTACTTTGCAGGCCTTTAACTTGTCGTGTACGTGTCGAGGGGCGGGCAGGGGAGTGTGCGCGGCTGCGGCCTGCCGCCTGCTCGCGCGGGCCCGCCGATCATTTCTCGTACACCTGGAAAGCGGAGAGCGCGAGAGACCCCTCCCGGCTGACGCAGATGGCCAGTGGCTGACCGCCCGCCCGCAGAGGCAGAGCGCAGGCGCCCATCCGGCATCCGTCCTAGAGACGCAATCACGCAACGCAACGCAAGAATAAAAAGAGGACACAGAGGAAACACCGAAACAGAGAGTCCTTCCCGTCCCGTCCCAAGGAACGAACGAGTAAGCAAGAGAGACACAGAGACAGGGAGGGAAACCGAGGGGCGTCCCCGAAACCAAATAGTCCACTTTGTGTACGCGCGGCGCGACGAGGGGCGGTGCGCGCGCACTGGCCATGAGCCGGGGCCGCGCACGCCGGCCGGTTCCTGGCAGCGTCGACATCCGCGCCGGCGCGCTCCTCCTCCTCCTCCTGGCGTCCGCCGTCCTGCTGGCAGCAGCGTCCGCCGTCCTGCTGGCAGCAGCGTCGTCGTCGGAGGCGGTGGACTACGGCGCGGCGCTGTCCAAGAGCCTGCTCTACTTCGAGGCGCAGCGGTCGGGGCGGCTGCCCCACAACCAGCGCGTGCCGTGGCGGGGCCACTCGGGCCTCACCGACGGCCTGCAGCAAGGGGTGGACCTCGTCGGCGGCTACTACGACGCCGGGGACCACGTCAAGTTCGGCCTGCCCATGGCCTTCACCGTCACCATGCTCGCCTGGGGCGCCATCGACTTCGCCGACGACGTCGCGGCCGCCGGCGAGTGGGGCCACACGCTCGAGGCCATCAAGTGGGGCACTGACTACTTCATCAAGGCGCACACCGAGCCGTTCGTCTACTGGGCAGAGGTACAGTACAGTCGTACGTCTTTCTTAGACTTCTCCCTTTCCTTCCACCTGCTACGTACTAGGCGCCTAGGCGTGCGTGCCGTCACAGGGGAAGTACTCTTCTTGCCACTTCCACGCACCACGCTTGGAATTGGGATGGATCGATCGGCCGAGCGAGGCATCAGACATGCAGTCATTGCCTGGTGCCCCTGCTGCTAGGAGGACGCGATCGATCGATGGATCCGTCATCCATGCGTCCGTATGAGTGACGACGGCCAGGGGCCAGGTCATTAATACCGTGTATGGAATACTCACTCGCTCGCGCGTGGCGGACAGGTGGGGGACGGCGACACGGACCACTGCTGCTGGCAGCGGCCCGAGGACATGACGACGTCGCGGCAGGCGTACCGCATCGACAAGGACAACCCGGGCTCCGACCTCGCCGGCGAGACCGCCGCCGCCCTCGCCGCGGCCTCCATCGTCTTCCGCCGCTCCAACCCGCATTACTCCCACCTCCTCCTGCACCACGCCCAGCAGGTGAGTGGGTTGCTACCTCATCACACTCTCCTTTATGTATGCGTATGTACGTGGCGCGTACATGTACTCAGTCTGATTGGTACGTACGGCAGCTGTTCGAGTTCGGCGACCGGTACCGCGGCACGTACGACAGCAGCATCGCGGAGGTGCGCAGCTACTACGCGTCCGTGAGCGGCTACCAGGACGAGCTGCTGTGGGCGGCGCTGTGGCTGCACCGCGCCACGGGACGCGACGAGTACCTCCGCTACGCCGTCGACAAGGCCGAATCCTTCGGCGGCGTCGGCTGGGCCATGACCGAGTTCAGCTGGGACGTCAAGTACGCCGGCGTCCAGGTCCTCGCCGCCAAGGTACGGTACTCCTCCTGCTCTTTCTTCTTTCTTGATCGACCACCATCCAGCTGGGTAGCCTTTTGAAATCGATGGTTCGTTGCATCATCATCATCATCTTCTTCCGTGAACGCAACGCGCGTTGTCCTCAGACTCCAGTAGTAGTAACAGTAATTATTACTGATGAGGAAAAAAACTACTTACACAAAGCGCCTATGCCCCCAGTACGTAGCCGTGCGATCCACCACGGATAGACGCAGAACAAAAACGTATTTATCACTCCACAAAGCACCTATATTAACCTGCTACTAGATGATTTCACATGAGGATCCAAACACCTTTTGTACCAGGACGACAGTGGCACTAGCTGCTGCTGCTGCTGCACACACAGGCACATCAGTTTGGACGATGGATGGCTCATGGCTGGCTGTGGCTGGGTTAGTTCGTGGTTAGCAAAGGAAGTTAATGCCGCCACATGGCGTTATACTTTCCTGTCCCCCAAAAGAAACCCCCCGTACCCGATAGGTAGGATCCACCGGTTTACCTATCATACCCCGATTACGAGCTACTGGAGCTACAGCTACCCGAGGCGAGCTTAGAAAGAAATCAGAGAAGAAACCATGCATGCCGCCCGCCCGTCCACGGAACTGCATGTTGGTGCTGATGGTGACACGGAGAGGAAGATGATGCATGGCTCCAAAAACGGAACAGCGCCGCTGCGTGCTACGGACCAAGCCCACTTCTACTCAACCATCGGCTGACCTACCTCCCTGTCCCTGTTGCAATGATGCTGGCGGGAGAAGTGTGTGTGTGTCCTGGACTGGACTTGATCCTGGCTCCTGAACAGCAGTAGCCAGTAGCTGATCCGCCCGGCCGGCCACATGATGGCTGGGCATCTGATCAGGGGGTGAGAGCCTTTCGTGCTGAAAGCTGCGGTCGTGTGCTTATTCGGCCTAGCCATTTTCAATTCTGTCCGCATCAGGGTTCCCCCGGCCTGCGCCGCTGTGGGGTCCCGTTGGACCGGGCTAAGTCGATCTAGTAGAGCGCTTCTACCTGCCGCCTGCCGAGTGCCCACGCCATGGCAGCTGCAAATTCTTCTGGGCGAGGTGAGCAGAGCACCATGCCATGCCGCCGCGCCATGCCAGCATGCCCCAAGAGGCACCGGACAGACGCGGTCACTCACTGACAAGTGACACCTCAGAACCCTCTCACCAGTTGTAAAGCACTACTAGCCGCGCGCTCTGCTCAGCTCAGCTAGCTGTGGTGGAGCGACGGCCGACGCTGGCCCCGCAGGCACGCGCCCGAGCGTGGTCGACGTCCGTCGACGTGTATTATATATCCGCCGCGCTAGCCGCCGGCCTATAGCTAGCCGGCGCCGGATGACCGAGGTCACGCGTCTTTCTTCCTTGCCTTTGGAACAAAGGCCAGGATCGGAGGTGGTGTGTCTGAGCTGCCTGTGTTCCAGACTGTTTTGCTCCATAGTTCGGACAAACGAACGCTAGAAATTTGGAACCCCGAGTACGATATGCTTTGTTTCCTTCCGCTTCCGTGGAGGGAGAGGCGGAGAGCTACCGGCCGGGTCCGCAGCGCCTGTTGTTCGGTGTCTGCCGGTCGAGGCCAAAATGGACCGCCGGAGACACTCCAGGGATCATGGCGGCAAAAATGGCACGTCCTGCCTGCCTGGCTGGCTGCAGCCTGCGCACGTACGTATACTACGTAGTACACTGGCCGGGGGTGGGTGACTGCTGACTACTGATGCAGACATCCTCACGATCAATAACGTTACATCCTGCCTGGCTGGCTGCAGCCTGCGCACGTACGTATACTACGTAGTACACTGGCCGGGCGCTCATTGAGTTTCGTCAGCTTTCCATCCGTATCCGTATATCCGTACTTCTGGTGAAAAAGAAAAATAATCTAGCGTTATTGATCGATCAACTACTATATACGTACCCTTCGGTCAAAAAAAAACTATATACGTACCGTGTGATGTAACGTAGCATGCATGGTCGTCAATTTTGTGACCTCTGCATAACGATCGAATGAAACCGGAAGCTTCAAGACAATAGTCAGTATACTACTAATGTTACGTTTTAGTATATATACTCCCTCCATTTCCATTTCATATTATATAAGTTGCTTTGATTTTTCTAGTACATAGATTTTACTATGTATGTTTAAATATATAGTAAAATCTATATAAAAAAAGTCAAAGCTACTAATAATTTAGAATAACGACTAATAATTTGGAATGGGGGAGCACTATCGTAGCATCATCAGGTGGCTGGTGCCTTGGTTGTACTGCTCCGTATGTCTACCACGAATTTTCGGTGATATAGAAACGGCAGAGGACAAAACGTTTTAAAATGCATGCGGGTTTCTTGGAATATGCTATGCTATCATTCATTGCCAACTTGTGTTCTAGATATGACATTTTTTAAAAAAAACTCTCTGCAAAGAACAGACGTTGACATTCAGTTTGGACTTGACGAACAATATGCTAAAAAATATATTAAAAAAATCGTTATTTCCTATACATTTCAGTGAAACTGGGCGCCTATATATATAAGAGAACCATTCCTCGCTCAGTTAAATGCCGTGAAGGAACAAATTAAGAGGCGTGAGAAATACAAGCTACTGCTCTCTTCATCTCTAAATAACTTAACTTTTGTGGTTGTCCTATAAAAGAGTAATTTGATCGAATTTGTAGAAGAGTTATAATATATTTACAGTATCAAATACGCACACTATAAAAATATATTTAATAGGTACTAATTTGATATCACAAATATTTAATTATAAACTATGACAAACTTAAATAAGCTAAATGTCAAGTTATTTTAAATTTGATTTATTTCAGAAATGTTTGTTAGTTATACACTGGTTGTACAATAACGTACTGCACTACAAGCAACCAAACAGTAGTAGCATTTGTTTGCAAGCAATTAGGAATGCCTGGTAGGACTAGTAGTAGTACGAATTAATCGCAATGGATGCCCTCAAGGAAGGTCCATGCAAACGTTGCAATCAAAGTGGTTGTTGGGGGCTAATAATATTCTTTAGCGTAGGTTTGTCTGTTGCCGTGTCAACTCCCGCACACATACAACAAATTGGTGATGTGTCCAGAAGAAAACGAAACAAAATATCCAGTTTCTGAAGTGAACGCGTCCATGGCATACAGCTAGCTAGTAACCACTTCGATCGCTTAGGATGATCTCTCTCTCACCTTTATTTTCGCGCGTTCAACTGGTAGTGACGTCCACAAGTCTTGTCGTGTGCACAAGCATTACTTTGATATAGGTTAGTGTAAGACATGCTGTCGTGAACCATGGGTGATATTCATATTTTTTGATATAGTTTTTTTTCTTACTTATGAAACACTTTTTCTCCGCAGAACATGAGAGAAATGCTTATATTTTTTCATATAGGATGAATGTGAGTGCATGCGCATGAGGAAAATATTAATGGTTATGATAAATCTCACTCTCGAGAAATTAATCAATCTTAACTTTTGAGTAAATCTATATAAAAATTACTAATAGCCATGATACGTAGTGAATGAATATCATTAAATTAATGATGAACTATATTTTCATAATGAACATATATAGAGATACAAATGTTGACTAATTTCTAGAAACTTACTCAAATTTGAGAATATTTGATTCCTTGAGAAGTGGGATTCATATTCTTTTTCTATGGATGGAGTATTATTCTAAATAGGAGAAAAAATGTTCCACCTATATTGTTATTAGTACAAAACAAAATAAAATGTTTCAGTTGAGCTGGAAAATGTAGTTTCACGAGAAGGGGAAAAAAATATCACTAGAGAAGAGAAAACATGTTGCAATCACTAGCATTTTTGGCCCTGCGGCGGTGCGGCCCCACGAGGGGGGATAGGATAGGACATGGGAGTAGTCAGAGGTAGTATACTATTACCCCGGAAAGCGACGCCGGCCGTGGTGACTCCACCATGCACGTGGCCCGTCGACCGTCGCCTCCGCCTCGCTCGCCCACCGACAGCAGCCAACCCTATGCTGAATCAATGAAGATCGTCGTGGATCGATAGGTTCGCCTGTTCGATTGGAATTGTCGAGCTGGATCGAAATTTTGCAAGCAGTTCATTGATTGCTAGCTGCTGTCTCTCTTCTGCCATTTTCATTCAAAGCTTATTCGCAGCAGCAGCCTAAGCATTGCACGGATTTGATCTGTTTTCGGTTTTTAGCACGATTGATGGTTGGGGTTACGCTGTCGGTGTGGCTCAGGCGCTCTATCCCAGCATTTTGCCATTCCCTTGATACAGTTCGCCGGCATGGGCAGCAAGAGCTGCTGCCGGGCTGCGTCTGGTGCCGTGTATCGCATTTCCGTGTCACCGCGCGTCGCGATCAGGGGGGCATCTTGGATAGTTAGTTACCTAGCAGTAAGATTGAGCCGCCCGGTGATCGAACCAAGTTTAAGGTCCGATCTACCTGTCATCTAGAACATGCATGTTTAAATTCACATAAACTAGCAAATCAACTTTGCCCAACTTTATTCTGTCGGTCGTCTAAGTTCGAACTGTGTTTGATTGACACCTTTGCTTTGCTGCATCGTCATCTAACGAACAGCTGCTGCTGGAGGGCGATCCGGCAGCCCTGAAGCACGGCGCGGTGCTGGAGCAGTACAAGGCGAAGGCGGAGCACTACCTGTGCGCGTGCCTGGGCCGGAACGGCGGCAATGGCAGTGACAACGTGGAGCGGAGCCCCGGCGGGATGCTGTACGTGCGGCAGTGGAACAACCTTCAGTACGTCTCCAGCGCCGCCTTCCTCCTCACCGCCTACTCCCGCTACCTCTCCGACGCCGACACCTCCTCCGCAGGCGGCCGCGGCCAGGGCCTCCTCCGCTGCCCCGTGGGCGCCCACGCCGCGCCGTCCGACCTGCTGGCTCTGGCGCGCTCGCAGGCGGACTACATCCTGGGCCGCAACCCGCTGCGGCTCAGCTACATGGTCAGCTACGGCCGCCGGTACCCGGTCCACGTGCACCACCGCGGCGCCTCCATCGTCGCGCACAAGGCCAACAGCCGCTTCATCGGCTGCATTCAGGGCTTCGACGACTGGTTCAGCCGGGGACGGCCCAACCCCAACGTGCTCGCCGGCGCCATCGTCGGCGGGCCCAACTGCAGGGACGAGTTCCGGGACGACCGCTGGAACTACATGCAGACCGAGGCCTGCACCTACAACACCGCGCCCATGGTCGGCGTCTTCGCCAGGCTGCACCGCCTGGCGACGGCGAGGGGTGCCGCCGGAGAGGGACGGCCGATGAGGCGGAGTGTAGATAATATTAAAATGGTGGCAGTGGTGTCGAAATTAAGCGGCCAGGCGGGATAATTCTTTTTTCTTTCTTTCTCGTAAGCTTATATTTTACTACTAGCTTCCATATAATTAATTTTTTTATGTGTTAATATGGGAGAAAGATAAAGAAAAAGAGAGTTTTGGTTAGTGATGAAAGAAAGAACAGGAATCATAGTGGAGCAATAAGGACGAGAAAAGGGTGTGCAAAGTTATCTGTATGTGTTTAATCTAGGTGTCTCAGAACTGAAAAGAACTGTAATATTTACTGGGAGAACAGTAAATACATAGTCACATAGACAAATTGCATGGATCTTAGGAGTAGTATATGTTTTCTTATTATATTGTTCAATTCGTGGGCTCCAGGAGTTTTTGAATGCGGAGGAGATGATGAATTTAAGTTGTTCCCTCCGTAGTTTTTTTTTGAAATTAAGTGCCATGTCATGTAAGGAGACATAGAGAGCGTCAGTTTACATGATTTTATCTACCATACTTTCCACTGCTCGTTCACAAGCCAAGTTTGGTGGCACACATACTCTCCGGTTTTCATGAATCTGGAGAAATCTGTGAGAGAAATCAGCCGCTGACAAAAACAGTACTGTAGCCGACTGAAAAAGCACCGTAGTCGGCTGATTCCTCTCACAGATTTCTCCAAATTTATCCAGATTCCTCCAAACGAACGGAGCCAATATGGCGAAAGGGCTTCGACTTCTGTTCGTTGTAGTCTTGTGGGAGGTCTGGAAAGAGTCGAACACGCGGTGCTTTTGAAGAGCAAAAACACAAATCATACGGGCTTCCCTAATGGTCCAGTCCACGTTGGCTTCAGGCCTCCATTTCCCATAGAATGGTGGCTCCGCAGGCCGTCAGAGGTGTCCACAGAAGCAGTGATTGCTTCGTCTCACAAAAGAGCGAAGCAACCACTGGCTTCAGATCGTTGGTTGCTTGACTGGGAACACATCTGCCTACCGCGTTCTCTCTCCACGCACGCAAGATTGGCGCCAAATCTCCTCCATGCAAAAGCTGCGATACGTACCTGAATGATACTGATATGGCTAAAGGAGCATAAATAGTCTATTTAAAAACTCTATAAAACACTAGAGCAATTGATTAGTACAATAAACGACGTAGTATAATTTTACTCTAGTTCTACAAGGGTTGCAAGCCACCTATCCCAACAATTCTAGTTGCTATGATCACTAGGCACACACAATAGCTAAGTCACTACTCACTAAGCTAGTGTACTCTCAAAGACTAACTAATTAAAGAGACGCACTAACCAAACTAACAAGCTCTCAAAAACTAACTACACTAGAGAACTTGGTAACTAGTTTACGAAAAATATAAAGGAGTAAGTAGGATGATTATACCGTCGTGTCGAGGAATGAACCAATCACAATATGAAGTCAATCCAATCATCGGAAGAATTCCAATCACACAAGGGACACAACAATTTTCTCCCGAGGTTCACGTGCTTACCGGCACGCTAGTCTCCGTTGTGTCGACCAACACTTGGTGGTTCGACAGCTAATAGGTATCACACACCTAGCTAACAAATGACGCCGCAAGAACTTACCCACAAGTAAGGTAACTCAATGACACGGACAATTTACTAGAGTTACCTTTCGGCTCTCTGCCGGGGAAGGTACAAGACCCCTCACAAATCCTCGGAGTCAGCCACAAACAATCACCAACACATGCCGAAGCTCCTCCGCTGCTCTAAGCCATCTAGGTGACAACCACTAAGAATAACAAGAACTCCGCAACCACAACGATCCCGAAGTGCCACTAGATGCAACTTGAAATCACTCCCAATCTCACTAGGCTGGTGAATCAATGATGTAGATGAGTGGGAGGTGTTTGCTTAGGCTCACAAGGATATCAAGTATGTCAAAGTGCCAAGAGAGTGAGCCCCAAGCCGGCCAAACCCTTTAAATAGGTGCCCTCAAAGAATAGAGCCGTTGGCCTGCACAAGCCTGACTGGACGTTGCCCTGCGTCCGGTCGCCTGATGGACGCCACGCGTCCCACCTTTGAACTTGCGCCATTCATCTCCAATGGTCAAAATGACTCCTCCGCGAAGTTAAGTTGTGACCGAACGCACTGAAGGAAATGACCTAACGTCGCGCCATTCAGGGTCCGGTCAACTCGAGTAAGGGTCCAGAGCGCATTTTTACTGACTGGACGTGTCCAGTTAACGTCGACCTGACACGCCCGGCGTCCGATCCTCACAGGCGCTCACACACAGCGTTGGCGTCAGCGTACGTCAGCCATGACCTGATGCACCCCCTGCACATCTAGTCATGTGTCCCAGCAGTGTCTGGTCACGAAGCCGAGCATCACCCTCTCTGCGCCAACTGACTGGACTTGGCGCTCAAGTCCGATCCCAGCGTTCGGTCAAGCTAGGACGGCTGACCGAGACCTAGGGTTCGGTACCGGACGTGCAGGTCCATCCTGAAGCCTGCGTCCGGTCCTACCCCAACTCCTCCTTTTCTTTTTCTAAGTTCGCAACCACTTCATCCTTGCTTTCAAGTTGCTAACCACAGTGGCCCCGTTCGTGTGCCTTTAAACCCGGCTTGATCCGCTTCTTTTTTCATCCGGAACAGTATTTTTCTCTCACAAATTCCTCCAAACCATCAAAATTCCTCCAGAATTCCTCCAAGCGAACATGCCCAGTGTGTAGAACTTGTGTGCACGTGTGTTAGCATTTTTCAAACCATTTTACAAGGGTCAAGGTTAGCACACTAGGTTCCTAAATGCATATGCAAGAATCATGTCCCCTAGTGACACTCGATAACCGCTTAGTGTTGGTATATTTAACGCACATAGATAAATCTACAAGCGCACGGATACCGCTATAGCTTTCACCTAGAAGCATTCCAAGTATCGTATCCACAGGAAAACGTGTGAGACTAACTACGATCTAACTTAACTAGGGGTATCAACAAGGTTAAGATAAATAGGAGAGTAGAGAGGAAAACTAAGGTTCTCTAGTTCTAACTTGGGTAAGCTATGTCTTCTACTATTCGACTGGGGACATTACTTAAGAAAAGACACCAGCAGAGGATGCTTCCCATAGTAACCGCGTCCTACTTGCCCTACAAATGGGAGGTGGACTACAGAGGATTCAACGAGGCTATAAGAGTCACCCTCGCGAGCTGCCACCGATCTAGAATGTAGGATGCATCCACAAGTAACCAGAGTCTAAACACCATGCTTACACTACAATTACTACTTTACTCTTCCCAGATAAAGAATAAAGCACTCAAACGAGTTGTGAACCTGATGAATAATATAAACAAGAAGCTTACTTGAATTAGAAGTTGATTACCAGAGAAATCTCAGAGGCAAGCTTAGATAGAACTTGGATCGCCAAGGTACAAGTCGTAGAGAGGGCACCGATAGGCCAGCACCTCCTCTAAACTCTTCCCTTACTCTCTATCTCACTATTATTTACAAGACTAGAGCCTTTGGAGGACTAATCTTCTCTTGATAGCTGGCTCTGATCCTGATGAGGAGAATATAAATTGGGGTTTCAGGATGGCTTTAGGGAGGGTGGTAGGGGATGGTATATATAGGCCGGAGCGTCCAACGTGAGCCCTTGGATCAAACCGAGTTAAAGGACGACATAGATGCAACCTAGGAGATGGTGGAGAACCGGCATTGCGACGTGGAGGATGACAGGTGGGGCTAGGTGCTGGCCAGCCCCACATGGCAGCCCCTCAGGGTCTGCTTCGGTGGAGAGCCTCCTGGAGTCTTCTTTAATCTTCCCACGCTGTTTTCACGGCAGAATTCCGTAATTCCCTTTGACAAATAGGTCCCCCTTGATGGTTTTCTGGATAAACCCTGCTGAAAACACAGATTCACCAAAACTCATAGAATTTATTAGTTTAAACACCTATACCTATGTTTGGTGATGGAATTAAGTATAAATGCAGGTAATGTTGATGGTTTATAATTGGTGTTAGTGACCGTCAATAAGCTTCCCCAAGCGGCCAAGCTTAACCTTTGCCAGTCCCTGAGCAAAGCTAAACTCAGCAATAGATCAGGAGTTACTACAATGCTTTCACGCCTCAAAAGTACACATGCGTTCAATCAAGAATTCTCCTCCGAATTAGAATAAATTGATCTGACTTTGAAACTTACCCATATTACCTTCAACCATGGGGCTTCTTAACCTTCACTTGGGTCTTGAGCAATTGAAAGATAGAACGATCAAGTCAAGCACTATGTCTCAAGTTCTTTGTTTCACTATTGTTCTAGAGTTTTATAAGTTTTCAAAATAAAACTCAGAGATTCCATTGTATGACACTCTCAAGTCTCTCAATATATGTGGTATTTGTGGATCCTCACCAAGGCAATAAAGATGTTATGCTTTTATCTTCCTACTACTAAGATTTATGTGGAGTTCATAGGTAGGGAGAAAGCTAGAGTATACTTGCAATGCATATATTGTTAAGTCAAACAGCGGATCTAAAGAGAGTTGAGTCGTACAATCAAATCAAGATGTGCATGTGTGTGGATATATGGTGGATATATATGGTGGCTAACCTAATTCTACTTTGCTCTTTGAAAACATATCTCTCTCTTGAAACTTAAAAATATTTTTGTGAGAGAACAGGGGCTATCTTATTCATCTTTTTTTTTCTTTTTTTTAGACGGGCATCTGAGTACCCATTGTTTTCAATATCTCGGACACTTGTCCATTTTTTTCTCAACTCTTTTTTTTCTTTTCTTCTTCTTTTTTTAGGAATAACTTTTGCATAGCCTCATGTCTCTTTTCGGCAACAAAACTTTTGAGAGATAGCAACAAGAACTTGGAGCATTTATTAAGTGGATGAAAAATCTAACAAGCATGTTTTTGGGTTCACTCCCAGTGTAGGAGTAGAACATTTTTGGATGGATCTAGATGGAAGGCTTGTTTTTGTGCCTACCCCTAGTGTAGGAGCAGTAGGTATATGTGGTGTGTACGTGATCTTGATTTTAAGAGCATGATGAACCTCTCATAAGGGTCAACAAAGCTTGACAAAACTCAATGTAAAAG